AGATTACATTGTGCACCTTTAAAATAGGTACATGTAGGTGATATGACAAATATTTGACTTCATTTACAGACGTCCTTTTCTGTGGAGTATGAGATGGACCAGAGTGAGTCAAACTTGAAAATGAATGTAAGTGAATGGAGGTAAATACTGCAGATTAGATTTTTGTCTTGATTTGATGATGTGTGATGTTCTTATGCACAGACGGCGCTTGGTGTTTTGGGAGGTGTGGCGATTTTGTATTCACTGCTAAAAACTGTCAGCTGGAAGAGGAGGATTGCTTCATCGCTCATTGACGCAGGGGTATTCTATTTTTCATTATTAAATTCTTTAATTGAAAAAATCTTTGCGCATTAAACATTTTCTTGTCTTTCTGCAGACTGTATTCAAGTTTTTGTTATTCTATGCGGGAGATCTGGCCAATGTTTTCTTCGTCGTCACTGTTGGAACGGCACTTTACTGGCTCATATTTTACAAGGTGAAGTGCCAATGTACACTCTTGATATCTGAGCAAAGCTGGGCTCTTTGCTGTATCTGTGAGTGGTTTGGGAGTGCTGCATGTTATTTTACTTTCTTGTATGGGCGGAACAAACAAACAAGCAACTAGACATGAGTCACAGAAAAAGAAAAAGCACAGTATTTAAAAATCCTTCAGCTGAGGTAGTCTGATCAAGCCCAGCTCAGGATCCGGAGATGGGTCCCTTCTTTTGACTTTTCTTCGCTGAAGTGTCAAATGCAGAGGATTAATTTCTCTACAAGGACAATAAAATATACCTTAAAAATTAACAAGCATGATTGCTGGGTTCTGTTTGTCCTGGCCGCAAGTGCAGTGTAAGGGGAGTCCAGACTGAGATCTTGTGTCTGGTTACTTCGTCTTAAAATATGTCTAATTCTTCTCTTTTTGATTTATAACTTCTGTGTTTACTGCATGCTCTTTCTACTGCCACTTTCTGAATTTTCCTCTGAACAGACATTAAAGGCAAGTCCTTTTCTGATCTAGCACTATTGCAGCATTTTTGTTGTTGTTTTTTTTTCACAAGACAAATTATTGGAGTTTTCATTCTCTTTTGTATTTACTTTATTCAGGCCCAGCGGTTTGTTTCTGTGTTATTACCACTTCCAGCCCAAGAAGAACAGTTTGTCACGTACATCAGTTGTGCTTTCGCGCTGAAGGTGAGACAAAAATGTAGACAAAAGATGCACTGATATGAAAGGCAGTCAACACTAAAATTTATTTATTTTTTTAATCAGGGAGTCCAATTTTTTCACAAACTGATCCTTCAGTTGTCTGTGGATATGTTCTTAATCGACTGGGAGAGGCCACGCAACAAAACTGGCACCAAAACCATCCAAGGTACTTTGGGCTTTATTTCATTGTATTTGTCTTTTTACAATTAATAATAACTTAATTAGCCTTAATAAAGCATGAACAAACACTACATAATGAACAAATCATTACTTAAGAATGATTCAGGCTTAGTAACTAGTCATTTGTTCATTATAAATTAAGTCTTTGTTCATGCTTTATTAAGGCTAATTTACACCTAGTTATTATAAACAGTTGCCAAATATGTTTACATTTACTTCAGCTGGTGGTGAAGTGAAACGTGACCCTGCCCCTGTGAGCATCTGGAGGACTTATTTTGTGGCAAATGAATGGAACGAAATCCAGACAATTCGAAAGATTTGCCCCACATTTCAAATCATGGCTGTGCTGTTCTTTCTTGAGGTAAATAATAAACAACTTTAAAAGGTCACCATATAACCTTTCAGATGGAGTGTATGCCACCTACTTTACCTGAAAAGTTCCACAGTGTGGCATTAAATTTGTTTACAGTAAAAATGTATCTTGTTCAAGGTATTTTCACCAGTAAAAAAGATAGCTATGTTTAATGCCATACCTTGGAATATTCCAGGTAGTAACATCTCCACTGGGACAAACAGGTGGCAGGTTTCATAGTGCATGTTTAAGTCATTTTTAAATAATAATATGTTATTACTCACATATTACTGTTTCTTTAGGTAGTGGGTTTCTCTAACTTGGCTCTGAGGGACCCATCACCATTGTTAGAGCGCCCCCCAGAGGCATACACCCCATCCTACAGCCTGATTCTGCGCTATGGGGTCACTACAGCACTGTGGCTTTGCATTGGGCTGCTGCAAGTTATCTTTTTCACTCTTTTCTATGAATGCTTTGTTGAGGACAAAATCAGGCAGTTTGTGGATCTCTGCTCCATCAGTAATGTTAGTAGACTGATTTGTAGAACTACCAAATATAGTTTTGTTTTAGTGATATGAAAATTGAGACGTTTCTACAACTTTTCCATTTAGATATCTGTGCTGCTCTTATCCCACCGATGTTTTGGTTATTACATCCATGGGCGCTCAGTTCATGGCCACGCTGATACAAACATGGAGGAAATGAACAACAATTTAAAACGTGAAGGGGTATGTACTATTGTTTATCTATGTTGTGACATTCACTTTAAAATATGTAACAAAACTATCTTTATCTTTTATTTTGTAAGGAATCTTTGTGTGGTCAAAGGGGTCTGCTTCCCAACACAGACACTCAGACGTTTCAGATCTCTCTCGCGATTCCTTTAAGAAGTCAATACGACAGAATAAGAGAGCCACTCAACAGGGTGTGTGTCTAAATCATCCTCATTATAATTTACATTTTATATATTTATTATTTTAAATCTCTTGTTTCACAGAGATATAGGCCAGCCCGACTGTTAGACTCGTCCTCTGGAAACCACTTTGAACAGTGCACGAGAGCCTACAACACAATGAATCACTTCCTCGGAGCAGTTATCAACCATGTTAGTAAATCATACATCAAATTCTCTGGACCACAATGTACAATCAAAATAACTGTTTGACTAGTTTACTATTAAAAAGTAACTTCTGACTTATCAGCTACTAAAGCCATCTTTGAATGAAATAAATGTGTTTAATTGCTTTGTTTATCATAGGCCCACCCTGCTTTGGACTACATTGTTAGAGACAAACTAATGCTTGAACGTGTGATCGGGATGGAGTTTCTTGAACCAAATGACAAAAGTATCTTCTACACTGGTAAGATCAATATGACTTTCTTTGTACAGTTGTTATGGAAACTTATGTATATTCATTTGCAAAGTCTGGTGAGTTGATGAAATACAGGTAAAGGTTTGTTCTTTGGTACAGCAGACCCCTCACCGATTGTCTCCCCAGAGTCAACCTCCTAGTCCAGCCCCTTCTCCCCCCAAAGTATCTGAGCTCTAAGCGTTTATGTCACAATTACACAGTTATATACATATCAAAGCAGGGTGACTTTTGTTTCACAGTCATGAGTTAATCAGCTTTCAAACTTGAGTACAGGTAAAACAATAAAGGGTTTCCTGTGGGGGGGAGACACATGTATCTGCAGAACTTTACATATGTTAATGACGGGTCTTGGATAGAAATCACATTAATTTACACAAAGACAGACTGAAACCTTTTATTCACAGTATAAATTTCCACCACACTATGTTTTCCCACATGTTTCTACTACACTATGGAGGCACTGAAAATCCAAACAGATTAAAATATATAATAGAGTAAAGATATATAAAGGTCCACTACAAACCTTTTCTGGTGAAGGGACACCTGCCTGTCTCCATGGAGATGTTATTGCATTGTCTGGAATGTACATCAGTATGGCATTAAACGTATCTATCTTCACGGAAATAAGCAAGCAATAACAGGACAAGTTACAGATCTGGAGAGGTGACACCCACTCACTGTAAGAATACATGTTTTTCATTTTTATTGTTGATCATTCCTGCATTCAAGGGTAAAGTAAAGCAACAACATTTCCATGAAGAAAAACAGGTCATAGCAGTTTTTAAAACATATTTATCTTATCCCACTCACATTTATTACAGACTGCTACTGAATCAGACTTCCTTGAAATCAGGTTTCCAGTTAAACATTCCATTCGTTTATATGGAAAACTACAGAAATGTCTTGCAGATTAAATATTATGGACTTTATAGACTTTAGAAGACTTTAACTTAATTGGAACCCTATGCAATCACTTCATCTTGCTTTTAGACCAAAACAGGCCAAGGTGACTGTCATAATTGTCTCCAGAAATGGGAAACTCTACTGTATGTACATAGTTAAATTATATGTGGTTATTCATTTCTCATTTTTTGTTTTTAGATGAGGCCCATTCCTTTAGTGATTTGCTGTTTTATGGAAATGAAGCCACACTGCTGATCTTTGATACACTGTTCTTCTGTGTGGTGGACCTTGGTTCTCAGAACTTTGTGCTTGCTGCTATCCTCACATACTTGCAACAGATGGTAAGAGCCACAAATCCAACATCTAATTATTATGTAAAGACTACATTTGAAAATCTAATAATCTTTGTCATAATCAGATCTTCAGAGTGATTCGCAATGCTCTTGGAAGAAAGAATCTAGCAAATAAGACACTAGTGGATGAGCGATTTCTCATATAGAGTGTTTTTTTAAATAGCTTATTGTAATATTGAATTTGATTTTTGAAAAGCCTGTTTGTTTTTTACAGCATTGTAAATATATTTTTGTATGGATGTTTGTATTGTTTTAATATTAAAGTTTTGCTTAAATCAAGTGTCTTGTACTTTCTTATATAATTGTAATATAACAGAACTTGAACAGTGGCAAAATTTAGTTATTGACTGCTCTAGTCTTATAAGCAGAATGCAATAAGAAGTGTGCATGTATTAAAATACTAAGTAACCATGTGCTTTTTAGATAGGAATAGGAATATTGGCTGTTGCATTAGTGATAATATAGTTGTAATAACAGTGTAATAACGAGTGAGTTTTTTTTAATATATATATATATATATATATATATATTAAAGCTATAACATATTTTTGCTTGATTACAAAATATATTTTCATACACTGCTCAAATAAAATCTATTATAGAGGCTTTTATATCTTTGGGAGGGCGTGGAAACGGCTGAGCTGCGCGGGTTTGAGCCAATGGGCGCAGAAGAGACTCAGCCCTGAATGACTCCGACCTCAAGATCTGCTCTGAAGACATGAACTTTTATAACTTCATGTTCGTCGCGTTAAGGTGAGTACTGCGTCCTCCATAACAGCGGCTCTATATGTCCGTGTTTGTATAATGTGACTTGTTTTGCGTGTAGATTTGATATTTAGCGGAAACGCCCAAGAGAGCGTAGCATAGTAGGAGGGGGGTAACACTACTAGCTTTAGCCTAAATTCGTCTCCTTGGCTCTCAGTGTTTTGGAAATGTCACTTAAAAACCTTTATACATGCACAACAGCGCTTTCATCACAGTTATAGCAGCTCTTTATATCACTGTACAATTTTGCACTGTTGGCTAATTGCCTTGAGGCTGGTCACAGAGAGGTTACCTTGGCACTAGCTGCTAAAGAGCCATGCTAAATGTCAACAAACATGGCAACTTTCTGCAGAGGGGAAAGGATGGCTCATATTTCCATCATTCCAGTGTCCTCTCAAAGCCTTTCAAGGTATAATTTGAAGTGAATTCATAGATTCTAGTTTTTGTTTGCATTAAAGAGAGAGGTTTTGTACTAGATCTCCACTAGCCCAATTGGCTCATCCACTCTGCTGACACTGATGGTATTTGCAGGTGATCCCATTGATTATATAATAATTGGATCTAACTCAGTAGGTCATGGACTGACAGACTGTTACTCAAATATAGGACTGAAACTCTAGTCCAAGCTATTTTAGGCTGTCCTGTGAACCACGCTTTATAAAGCTGGACAGGAGAGCAGGGGTCAAGAGACCGCTGCACTGAGTTCAAAATTCATCTTATTTTTTTAACATAAGGTGAATTTTATTTTTTTACTATAAGGTTTTATTCATGGTATAAAACCTTATGTTAAAAAATATTTGTAGAAACACCTGAATCTTTGGTTTAAAGCATATAAGATATTTTGCCTTTTTAAGGTACAGAGCCACTCTGGGTCTAATGCATACTTGTTAAAAGAGAAATTCAGTTCTGTCAGCTGGACAAAAGCTCCACAAGCAGCTCCAAGCTGCTGCTTCAGTTCCAGGCTTTCTTCTTCAGTTTCCGACTTTTTTAAATTGATTCAGTCAATCAGTTTAAATCTGTGATAAGTGTTTGTGATTGCTCTGTGCTGTTTTCAAGTGCAAATGATTTACAGGCTATACATATGAATTGGATATGTACTTGGATGACTTTACCTTGTTTAGTGAGAACAAACGTTACTCATTAATCTCATTTCAGTTTGGAACAATGGCTGATTTTAATATGAAGTGGTGTTGTTCTTAGCAGCACTGTGGAGTTTCCATTGTCTCAGCATCAATAGTTTTCCTGCCGGTTTCTTTGCTCACTGTTTGCCTAATGGCCTGAGAGGCCCGTGTGACCCCTGTAATATAGAGCATTGGAGCAGCTGTATGTTTGTCTTTGTCCATTGACTGTACGTTCTGTCCACAGAGCACCTTGAGCCATGGTCGTGACGTCTCAGGTCCTGAGGGGTTTACCCAGAGCCAAAGCACTGGCCCCCTGTCTGTTACCATGCCAGCACCAGCTGCCCCACTTTGGGCCCTCTTCTCGGAAATCACCATGGAGACGTGCTTTGGGCTCCAGGAGTTACCAGACGAGCTCTGTGCTACGCAGCTACATTTTGACCCCTCCTCAGGTCAACTCCATTCTGAAAGCCAATGAGTACAGCTTCAAGGTGTGTGGTGACGTGCAAGCTGCAGGTTAAAAACGCTCTCTGTATGAATTTTAATGTAATATATTATTATGTTTTTAGGTTCCAGAGTTTGATGGGAAGAATGTCTCAGCAGTGGCAGGTTTTGAGAGTAACCAGCTCCCAGCAAATGCTCCGATAGAAGACCGCCGCAGTGCAGCTACATGTCTGCAGACACGAGGAATGTTACTGGGAGTGTTTGATGGTCACGCAGGCTGTGCATGTGCTCAGGTAAAGACACGCTCATGTCATTTTGTTAACAGTGACAGGATTGCTCTGTGTTGTGTCATATATTTAGCTCTGAGTTATTCCTCTGTTTTCCTCTAGGCTCTGAGTGAGCGGTTGTTCTATTACATTGCTGTGTCTCTGCTGCCCCATGACACCCTGTGTGAGCTGGAGGCTGCGGTGGAGGCCGGCCGTGCCCTGAGTCCCATCCTGCAGTGGCACAAACACCCAAACGACTACTTCAGCCGAGAGGCGCAGATGTTGTACTTCAACAGCCTCAGGACATACTGGCAGGAGCTCATAGACCTAACAAAGTAAGCCAAGTCCATGCGCTTTTTATGTATATCATCTTATTACAGGTATATAACTTCTCTTGTGGGCATTCTACTTAGACAATGCCCAATCTCATCTCATCTCTGAAGATAAACTCTCTTGGATATGGTTAGTACTTCCTATCCAATCCAACTTTATTTGTATAGCACATTTTATAAACAAGATAGTTTCCAGATTGCTTCACACAGCAATGTAAAACATTTACCTCTAAAGAGTCAGCAGAATTATGTATCAGACCAAATGAACTAATAGAAACAAGACAAGACAAGAATAATATACATTGAAACATTGATAAATCAATCAATAAAAATAAGAAAATCAATCAATAAATATTTGGATGGGAGACAGCTCAGAATACCAGGGGCTATAAGGGCTGTTGTTAGGAAAGACACCTTGCCTAATATGAACATGATTTGTTAGTGATGGTTGAATCCCAGGGCAGTTATGGCTGCAGATGTTGCTTCCTCGAGTACAGAGTGAATGAATAATGCACTGTAAAGTGCTTGGATGTCATGAAAAGTCCAATGTAATATTATTTACATTATGTATATTTCACAGAAAAATATTTATTCTAATTACGATTAATCTGCAAACTTCAAATGGATGTCACACTGATGAAGGGAGAAAGAGTGCCGATGTTAAGGTTTTGCCAAAAAAAAAAGCGATTTGTGACTGGTTTTATTTATAACATGACTCATTTTGTGTTTTAGTCCGGGGGAGGTCCCAGACACACGTGAGGCTCTGTTAAATGCCTTTAAGAGACTGGACAATGACATGTCATTGGAGGCTCAGGTACGTGTGCTCTGCTCTGTGTAGTACAAACAAAATGACACATCTCTCACACACACAACACATTTCTCAGAAGATTTGTGCAACTTCAGAACTGCTCCCCAGCATGAGGAGGTGACACAGGGAGTGTTTCAGGTTTATAGATCACCTCTTCTTCCTGCTGCGTCTTCAGCCAAATATAAACTTTACGAGGAGCTCTGGTTTCATCACCTCTGCAGAGAATTTACTGACTAATGGGGGAGGTAGTAGTGGCTCTAGCGGATATTGTTATTCCATCCTTAGGCAAAAGAGTTCACCCACAGCGCCTAGAATGAATATGATGTGTTAGTGTTTATGGTGCAGCCTCACTTCAATCAGTCTACCCCAGGGCAGCTGTGGCTGTAACAGGAGCTTACCACCACTGAGTATAGAGTGAATGAATAATGGTTTGGGTGTTTTGAAAGGCACTTTATAAATTCAATGCGTCATTGAGTGTATTATGTGCTGCAGGTGGGAGATCCCAACGCCTTCCTGCACTACTGGGTCCTGAGAGTGGCCTTTTCTGGGGCCACAGCCTGTGTGGCTCACATCGATGGACCAGATCTGTACGTACATCATCACATATATTAATTATAACCCAGGAAACTGACATGAATATTATTGTCCTCTCTAATGTAGAGGTAGAGACAATTGAGGTATTATTAACTATAAACTATTTGTATAGAACCCATTGTAATTGATTTACATACCTTCTTTTTAAATCACAAATCAGTTTGAGTATTCACATAAGTCCTACTTTATTAACATAGGCAATAATATTCCTTTTAGATATAAACCCATATATTGGTGGTTAGATATTTGCCCTTTTTAGTTTATCAGATATCAGCCATAAATCTTCAGCACAGATCAATAGTTGACCTGCTGGCTTAAGATTAAGCTCTTATAGTTTTGTGGTTTTAAAAAAAGGTGGTTGTGGGTTAGTTTTTAGTAAATTTAAATTACAATATATAGGGAAAATAATAATAATTAAAAAAAAAAAAAAAGATAAAAAACAAAATATCAAAAGAGCCATTGTTTTCTTTGGATTGGATTGGCCATGAAAAAAGGTTAATCACTAAGTTTTTATGAGAATGTCTCTGTCTCTTGTTTCAGATTTATAGCCAACTCTGGTGACGCTCGGGCAGTGCTCGGAGTGCAGGAGGAGGATGGTACATTCAGTGCTCACACTCTTTCCCATGACCACAATGCTCAAAATGAGAATGAAGTGGCTCGGATCAGGAGCGAGCATCCTCCATCAGAAAGAAAGACTGTAATCAGACAGGTACTACACTTTTTCAGTTATCAGCTCTAATATTCTTGATTTCTGATTTTTATTTTTTATTTTTTTTATTAGGTGGGCGTTGTATTGTCTTTTGAAGTGATCAACATACAAAAATAATAATATACCTTTGCACTGCCAAACATTACATTTGTTACAAGTTATCTTTATTGTCCTTAGGATCGCCTGCTAGGTCTTCTCATGCCTTTCCGTGCGTTTGGTGATGTAAAGTTCAAATGGAGCATTGAGCTGCAGAAGCGAGTGTTGGAGTCTGGGCCTGACCAGCTTCATGAAAACGAGCACACAAAGTTTATTCCCCCAAACTACCACACACCCCCGTACCTCACCGCGGAGCCAGAGATCACCTACCACCGGCTGAGGCCACAGGACCGCTTTCTGGTGAGCATTATTTTTATATATTTCGCAATCATTAAACTAGAAAATATATGTGACACCTTGATTGTATTAAATGAAGGTTTAAAGTGGGACTAAACACTTAAACTCCCCAAACCACATCGCCAAGAGCTGATTAAGTAGTGCCTTAAGATCTAAATAAAAGCGTGAGGGGGGGGAGCGGGATGTGGAAATATAAGCAACAATGTGATCTGCAGCCACGTTTGTAATCAGAAATGCCTGGCTGTACTCAGGGCAGTCCTGTGTGATGTCACATAGTACTTGAGATTGCAGTGGCCACTGAAGGCACCACACACGATGTTATTGACCGTTTGTGAGATAATAATATTTCACCAAACCAAGTAATTATTAGAAAAACATGAAAACCTGTCATATGCATTACAGTCCCTGTATTTATTTCTGCAGGTAATTGGCTCAGACGGACTTTGGGAGACTCTTCACAGACAGGAGGTGGTCCGCATCGTGGGGGAGTATCTAACTGGAGTGCATCAGCGTCAGCCTCTCAAGGTGGGGGGCTACAAGGTCACACTGGGGCAGATGCAGGGGCTTCTGGAGGAGAGGAAGGCACGCATGTCCTCTGCTTTTGAAGACCAGAACTCTGCAACCCACCTGATGCGGCACGCAGTCGGCAACAACGAATTTGGGACAGTGGACCACGAAAGGTTGTCCAAAATGTTGTCTTTACCCGAAGAGCTAGCCCGTATGTACAGAGATGACATTACTATTATAATAGCTCAGTTTAATCCTCATGTAATTGGAGGTCAATGACAAGAAGAGCAGTCCTGAGGAAAAGCTATGAACTGTCGGCCTATTGCAATTTTTGCCATAGTCCTGGGCCATGTCTACAAGAGTTAAAATGACTAAAGTCGCACTACGTAACTTTTCTGGTGGAGGGATTTAATTTATATCATGAAGTTATTCAATTACAAGTGTTAATATTGTTAAAAATAACCAGGAAAAACTCCTTCACTCCAGAAAAGTTGAATGGCATATTGTGGAAGAATCTAGGCAAAGCAGTAACATCTCCATGGAGTCAAGCAGGTGGCGGACCCTCTTTCAGAAAAGTTACATAGTGCACCTTTAAATTCATTATTGAATGCAAGGTTTAATTTCAATTGAATAGTTTACAATCATGCTACTAAATTAACTTGGATTATTTAACTAATTTTCAAAAGTTTTCATAAATTATCAGCCAATTATGTGAGGGAAATTCATGAAGTTTTATAATCTATGTATCCTAATAGTAAGTACAACTAGATTCTGAATTCAGGTCATTTTTAACTCATGTGGACATATTGATTTTCGGCAGTAAATCTGTAAAAAAAAAAAAAATACAGTTGAGTATAACACTATATAACATTATTTATAAAGGGGTTTTTATGTTTGTATAATGCTGTTTATGTGGTTACTGGTCACATCTTGTTTTTTCGCTAAAATATTTCAAGCATATCTTACTGTTACTCTCTCATTTGAGCCAAAAGGGCCATTCTTTTGTTTGCTGAATGACTTAAGTATATTCCAAAGAGGCTGCACTCTAAACACTTTTAATGCTACTTCTGCAACACCACACGTTTGTATTTTAAAATGATAAAAATTTATTTTTTAAGTCCCATTTTAGCACATACATTTTATGCGACATGTATGTTTTTTCTCTTTTTTTAAATCTCCAAAAGTGGTTTATTTTACCTTGCAAGGTTTTTTTTTAAATAGTTTGCTTTTCACATATATAAGGGAATGTATCAGTGTTTGAGTAAGTGTTGGGATAAATGTGTGAAGATAATAAGTTGGTTTCCAAAATGTGCCAAAAAAAAGGAATCATATGTTTGATAGTTCTCATCTTGTATGTTTTTTGTTTTTTTTTTACTGAAGGAAGTTGTTTTTTTCTTTGTGCAACTAATATTTATTGTGTTCCATACATTTACCAAAAGTTGCATCTTACCTGTTTTTAACTGGATGTAATATTGTATCCCTGTTATTGCTTTGCCTCTGGATTGTTCAACAGTATGGCATTAAATTTTAATATTTTTACATCTAAAATACATTGAAAAACATGTGTTCTTAGTGTGAGCAAGGCTGCCTCACCACAGACCTGTATCTGAATAAATGCTTTTGTTCAGTGCCATACTGTGGAACGTTCCAGGCAAAGAATAACATCTCCATGGAGACTATCACCCAGAAAAGTTACATCGTGCACCTATAAAACATTTAACATTGCATTTATTTGTGTTGTTACATTTAAAACCTTTTCATTTTTGTTACAGTGAGATGTTATTACCTTCCATTGAAACATTTGCAATACATTATGGTGTCATGTATACTTATTTATTAAAAACTATGTAACCATTGTTCATGTAAGTTTATGTACACTCACTGTTCCTTCATGGGCCTGTTTTTGTAGGGACTAAATAAATGCTGACTGCACATTTAGTGGTTTTGGTGTTGGGGAGTTTGTTGAACCCTGAACTTTGTCCTACTGTCCTGTTATGGACAGGGGTCTTTTCATGTGGCTCAGGAAATGCAGTAGTTTGGCATCAGGGCACTAGATGGTGTTAGAGTACATGCTACACGTGCAGAATAGGATATGTTTTCCAGTACATTGCCCTTTTATGACAGATATTCCCATGATGAGGTATATTTCTTGCAGCCTATAGTTCTCTGACCCTAGGCTTTAAAAACAATATTACTACACTATAACTGTCAGTTTATATTTTTTGTTTGTTTTTTATGTAGGTTACAGTTTATTAGGGATGTAACAAGAACCGAAATATCATGATATCATTTCGTCAAAAGTTTCACAATAATATCGTGGACCATCACAATATATCGAATTACAAGTCTCTTAAGTTATAGTGCAGCAAAATAGGTACAAAAACAAAGGGAACTACATAGGACATGATCCTTTGCTCCATTTCAGTGCCAATTACATGAAGAAGTAATTCTTACAAACACTTTTAAATCTTAATTCTTTGAATTACCACAGAACCAAAGCATTTTAAAAGAAAGAAGTAACATTCACAATTTTGTTAGTCTCCACAAAATATCACTATAAATATCGAACCATGAGACGTATATCATGAAAATATCGTACCAAGAGTTTTGGATATTGCTACATCCCTATTATTTATTTTATTTGGAATTCATGAAATTTATTAATTTGCTGTGTGTGGGTATTTGGTATTAGTTTGCATTATATTTGACAATGATGTTTATGTGCACTCCAAAAAATATATAATATACCCAGTTTGTCTTCCAAATACAACTCATACTCTAAAAACCTGTTGATTAAGTGACACATGGGTGTTTTGGTGTTAGATTTCTTTTGAGTATGTAACACACAACTTAAAAAACATTAGTTAGTTAGATAAATATTGGGTTATCTAGTTATGTGATTTTGACAGACCATGTAAACATACCCACTGTTTAAAGCTATTTTCTTAAGTTGTGTTCATGCATTAGTCCCTCCCATCTCCCCCTCTCTCTGTAGCCTCGTGTTGTTGTGGAAAGTGTTGCTGGGATACGGCTCTGAGGCTGCACAGATTCATAAACATACAGGGGCTTCGTGTAGAGTTTGTCGTTAAAAGTCTGCAGCTTCTTTGACTCCAGCTCACTCTTCTGCCTTTTGGAGACTAGAAACAGTATACAATATATACACACGACCCACTGGCCATTCCATGCATACCCAAAATATTGTCCCAAACACAGAGGGTGGAGAGGAGAAAGATGGAGATGGAGAAAAAATATCTATAGACCAAAGAAAACATTCAAGTGGGCTGCACGTACCTTTTAATTATAATGTCTTCACCAAGATTAGTGCTCTTTACATCATGCACCACATAATAAAACCAGCTAAATAAGAAATAAATTCAGACTAATATATATATCAGGTTCAACACTTGTGAATTTCCCTTTTAACTCTATCCTGAATAAATGTAATCAATAGGGAAAAGTGGCTTGTACATGGATCACAAGAAAAGTAGGACTAAACTGGGGCTAAACCTGAAATTAAACTTACTAGACCAGAACTAGACTAAAAAGCCTACATAAGTATTGATGTTATGCCAACTGTTGTGAGGGTTTCATCCTGCCCCTCCTACCCCTCACTTCCCTGCTCCTTCTCTCTTTACCCTATTTGGTTTTTCCTGGGCGGACCCCAGTCACTCACCTGCTGAGCTCCACTGCTGATCCTCGTCAAGTAATCATCTCCTGCAATAAAAGACCTGCTGACCTGCTCTCCAGTGCCAGATCGTTCCGTCAACCCAGTGGTGAACTACTCAGGCTTTTTTTGTGTGTTTTTGAGCATTTTGAAAACTTTTACTCTTACCTGTTTTGTCCGTTCATCCGTTTGGAGCCAGCCTCACCCCGTTGCCACCCGTTCCGCGAGCCTCTGGTCAGCCTCATCCCCACACACCTCGCACTTTCAGCCAACCTGGAACCGCCCTGCCTCCCCTGGAACCTATCCCCTTTCCGAGACTATTTTTGTTAATAAAGACTTTTGGTTTCTGCATATTTGGGTCCGACCAGTGATTTCCTTAACAACTGTAGGCTCTGCTCTGTCTGAAGCTCCTTCTAGTTAGACTTAATCATACTCCTAAACTGAATGCTCGTATTGACCAGACTCCTGTAAATGTGCTGTTTAAATCCATTTTGTACAAGACAATCTTAAATATTTTTTGACAGTGTTTGCTAATGTGTGCATTGTGTCGCCATGGTGTATATTCTGTCATAAACATACAAGTAGAACACCCCCCAGCATGATGTCACCGCAAAGTATCAATAAATGCACCATTAGAACCTCGTAAATACAGTAATTGTGGTGAAAGTAGACTACTGTTTTGCCCAAACGTGGCACACGCGGCAGAGGCCAGAACATGTGGCCCCCAGATTGTACCCTCATGTTTTCGGACTCTTCTCAGTGGGTGCGTTTTGTGCGTCTTTTGTGAAAAATAACTGCCACAATTTCCCATCACGCCCTCCTCTTTTTGACATAATCTGCGGCTTTGTCTCCAACTGCGTGAGATGAGTCAGAGCATCACTACAGGACCGGACCTTTTACACTCGGCAGTGATAGACACAGACACAGGCACGAAGTGACACACAGTTTGTAACACTTTTCAGTGGTCAAATCCAAACATGTTTCAAGCACTTCAAGTGCAAATGGCAGGTTAGCTTGCTTCACTAAAAGGCAGTTAATGTAATCATGTGTTAAGATTATGGGCTACTAAAAAGTGTGCCTATTGTTTTGTAGTTTGTAGTTCCCAGTTGGACATGGGCAGCAAATATGGCTTAGAGGCAATACTGTAAACAAGGGCCAAAACATTATTAAGTGCAAAACTTATGATCAGACTAAAAAAAAAAAAAAATGGCAATACCTTTGGTTTGCTAAATGAGGGTTTAAACACCCAGAAAATGCCTTCCTTGCTTGTAAATTGTCTTTTGGATAGAAATTTCTGTATTTATGACATAGGTTCAGTACATTCAGTTACAGTCACAGTCACAGACAGTGCACTGCTACGTGCTATTTTTGTACTGAGATATATTGTAAATATATTTTCCAGCACCATTCAACTTGACAAGTATTCTGCATTCATTACATGTCCATCACAGCTTTGCCCACAGAGCTTCTTGTTTTTATCATAGGCTCCCTCATTAGTATGTGGGCACTCTGATTACACATATATACATACATGTACATATGAACATGTGTCAGCAGTGACAGTGTGTCTGTCCTACCTCTGACCATCCCTTAGGGGCCAGTTGGTAGCAACACATTTGTAAACCTGCCCCAGAGCTGCTGACCACTGAAGTTTTAATCTTGTATTGGTAGTTCATGAAACTTTGTATGTGCATTTATTTTTTAAGGTCCTATCTTGTGCAAAATTTACTCTTGTAGGCCATATTATAATATTGTTGCCTCTTCCAAAACATACCTGGAGTATTGTTTTGTTTAATTCACACACATTTGAGTGACCCTTTATTATTAGTCTATCTACATCTCCAAAACTCAAAATGTGCTGTTCCACATTGTGATCTAATTAAGTTGTAGTTTTCAAGTTAACAGATCCTTTTACCTTTTGTTTAGGAGAGACTGGAAATTCAAAGGCTCAAATCATCCAAATGACTCTAGTGAAGGGGTAAAGTTTAAAAACATAGCGAGAGAAGAGATAAATTTGCAGGATTTATGTGTTAAACACGTGTGAATGAAACAAAACAGACTCCAGGTATGTTTTTGATGTGGAAACAATATTATAACATAGATCAAACAATAGCCTAATATAAGCCTTTTAAAAGACAGTCTTACCCAAACACATTTCATTGCACTGATGTATTGTGTATTCACTTGTATATGACAAATAATGTATTTTTGTGACAACCGTAAAAAGACTTAATAGGCATTTTCAGGATCTCAAGCCTTTTTACAAACTGACAACAAAGTCCATGGCTGGGACATTGAGGGCAGACTGAATACTGCACACAGGAAGATGAGAAGTGATAATTATGTCACCAAACACCTGCTGTGCCATGCATCCGCCATGACACGAACACACTCTCCCACTCAAACACAGCCACAACAAGTGATCCGAGACGCCTTGTTTATTCGGACAGTCAACAGTGATTTCTCATTACAAAATTATGTAATACTCGCTCACAGCCGACTGACTAACAAAAACAGCAGCATATAATATGCATTTTGACAACCAAGACAATCTGTTTGCTATATTTAAAGTTGAGGTACACAATGTCAATTTTGTTCTTTCACCTCAGACACTGTTTTATAAAAGCAGAACTACTTTACAAAAATCACAGCTACACACTGTCATAATTATAAAACATTTTCAACTATGGCAAACTTGCTAGTCAGTGTACAATGATTTAAGAGTGGCCCTGACTCACTTCTGTCTGGAAACGATGTCCTAAAGCTTTGCTAGTGGACAAAAAATGCATGTGTGTGAATACTGGTGATTTGCAAAATGGTTTGTGTGAGCTAGGAACAAGTTTGCTAGATTTAAATACTTCCTACTTCCTTCTTTCATAGTTAAAAAGATTAGGTACCTCAGCTTTGAGTTAGCAAAATGTTTACAATTTTCGGGGCATAGAACAAAAGCAAAACATTTGAGAATGCAACACTAAAATAAATTAAACCAATGAGGGGCGAACATAAATGATTGGGCAGAAAACAAATCAAAACCTCCTCTTACAATAACGGTACTATGCGTGTATCTCCATGGTGAGACTGACATGATTAAATATAATATAAAATGTAAATAAACCAGAGGAAAAAACAAACAAATGTACAAATACGTTTCAGACTCTTTAACTTTAAAAAAAAATCTGATTTATAATAATAATAGCACTATAGTTTCTCTGTTCTACATCATGGCGTTCCTCTCGTCCTCGGTATTCGACGCTTCCTTCTTCTTTTTGTTAATGCGTCGGACTATAACCACAAACGCGATAACTGCAAAAATAAAGGCAAAAGAGTTGAGTCAAAGACAAATTACCATAAATTGCTGTCAACTGCACAAGATATTTCCTTGAGTATCTTTAAATTGTAACACTTTTTCAACACTGCCTGTCTTCATGGAGATGTTATTGCTTTGCCTTGAATATTCCAAAGTATGGCATTAAATTTATGAATCTCCATGGTAACAAGCAAGTGATGCAGACGCCAAGCCACAAGTCTGATCTGTGGAGCGGTGAGTCTATTCAAGAAGTATTAATGTAGGCTATGTGTTTCCTATTTTTGTTTTTCCTATTATGTTTAGATTTTTTTAATCAATGCAGACATGTCTAAGTGAATACATGTAAGATAGATTTATTTAATGTCATACTGTGGAACATTGCAGGCAAAACATGGAGACAAGCAGGTGGTAGACGACCCAGAAATGTTAACGTTAACTATGTTACTATAATATAAGTTTACTTTCCCTTCCCCCTTTTATTACATAGGATATGAAGAAAAAAAATGCAAAAATATATAAATATTGTGTCTTGATATGTACAGCAGTTTAAGGCTAGTTTTAAAGTTTTTTGCGTTGTAATTATTTATGTAAAAAACTCACTGCAGAATCCCATGACACCGGCGAGGATCCCAACAGTGGCTCCCATTCCCAATATGAAGCTATGTTTCCCAGGTGCAACATAGCAGTAGCCCAGCTCTGTGCAGTTACACACTTTCACTGAAAAGACACATGGAAAAGTCAGTAGGTTTGTCACCATAACTGCAATGCACATGTACATTTTCATTTTTAAATATGTAAGTTTGCAAAATTGACACTAATCTCACGATATTTCATGCATCTTAAATAACATGTGCAATACAGTAAATATCTATAATGAATCCTAAATATATTATTAGATCCCACCATATTAAGCTTTCTTATTAAATAAAAAAATACCATTAACCTCTAATTGTAAGTTCTTATAAATATAAATTTTGCATATATTATTTTCCATCCTCTGATCCACTCACCTTCAAAAGCCTGGTTGATGCCCATTCCTGCATTGTCCTTAATATTAATGGACAGGGTGAAGGTTTTATCCTCATTTGGACTCTTCTTCAGAGTTAGTTTAGCTGTTGAGCCTAAATCACACATGAAAATATGATAAAAATCAACATTCCTGGGCAGTAAAGCTAACTGGAGGCACTGCTCTGTCCGAAGCTCTGGTGTGTTGATTTGTGCACTTGTGACTATAAACAAGTCCTTCTCAAATTACCCTTAAATGACAAGCTAGTCTGAAATAATCATATAGACATCCTCATGAATCATATTAATCACAAGTCATTTAAATAAATTCTGTATATTTTCTTGAGTCTTCAGACCTAAAAACAGATCTGTCTGTGTTTCCTGAACTGTGCATTGTGTCACCCTGGTAACTAAGAAACTGTCCCCTTCAGTGTCAATGTCAACGTGAAGTCTCAATTCAGTTGTATTTTTCATGAGTTTTAAACAGGACCTACCATCGACAGTTGTGAGATCCCAGTTGGGCGACTTCTTGCCATGTGAAAAGGCAAAAGTGAATGGCTCAGAGTAGGGAGGGGCGTCTGGGTCCTGAGCCTTGATGAGGACCGGAGTTGGTTTGTTGTAGCAAATGAAAGTTTTAGAGTCTGAGATTGTGGGGTAGTGATCATTGACGTCCAACAACCGCACAAACAGCTCACGCTCTGCAGACTTCTCGGGGTTATCTGTGAGAAAAGGACAGTGGGTTTAACAAATCTGATTTTTGTGAGTTTTAAGGCATGTTAGAATATTGTTACCTCCTCAAAAATGTGTCCATAGTTGTGTTTTGTTTCATTCACACATGCTTGGGTAATCCCTCATTATAAAGATGGCTAAACCTCAGCCTATGCAGGTTTGTGTGTTAAAAATGTGAATGAAACTTAAACACTACTTTGGGTTTGTGCTGAGAATACAACATTATAACATAGAACAGAAAATATACAAGCCCCATATTGCTCCCCTTCATTCTATCCATTCATTGCCCCCTGTGCCTTTCATGCAAATTAACATGATCAATTAACTTCCCGTTTCAAAATACCATCTCATAACTCTGTATTTACACAAGGCTCTCTAAATTAAATTGCACTGAACTGGACAGAAAACCAGACATATTGTTGTACTCACCCTTCTCAAAGGCAGTGACAGTGACTGAGAACGTCTCCAGTGTTTCTCTGTCCAGTTTTTCTGTGGTCTTTATTTCTCCAGTGGCACTGTCCACCTCCAGCCAGCCCTGAGGATCTCCATCCAACTTAAAACTGCACAAGACACAAGAAAAGATGCTCTGTTCAAAATGATTCAGAAACAGATATAGTGAAAATTGATCTAAATCAACTTTTAAAGGGAACATATTATGCAAAATCTACTTTTATTTATTTGCAATACTGATGTTCTCTCATTAGTAACTTACTCACAATTGTATTTTGACCAATTCATCCATGTTTAAGTAATCTTGTATTGTACTAGAGTGCTCTGAAAATGTATATAAAAGTATCCCCTACCCTATCCCCGTACTTAGTGGTAATTATATGAAAAATTAAGACTCAAAGTCAAAAATAATCTAGCCATGCTTAAAAAAAACAAATAAATAAATGAAATTAGTTAATTATAAATTTAGTCTTTGTTACTGATTCATTAAGACTATTAAAAGTGTAGTTAGTACAAAAAAGCCTAAATGTCTCACAACAGAACAAACATAAAAAAGACACAAATCAAAACATTTTTCTGAAATAAAAAACTTTAACCAATCTGTACCTAATATCTTTTCCCTCTGGGTCCTTGGCGTCCACTTTGAGGAGGACGGTTCCCTTGGTAACGTTTTCAGGGACCGTTACCTCCAGGACGTTCAGGCTGAACTCGGGGTCTTCGTCCACATCAGTGACCGAGAGCTGCACAGAGGCGGAGGACTCACTGCCGTACTCCAGACCCTTCATCAGAGGCTCCGGGTTACGAGCATCAATCTTCAGATTGTAAGAGGAAGCTGTTTCAAAATCTAGAGGCTGAAAAAGGAGAAACAAGAAATTAGCATTTTTAAATTTCCTATTAACCTTATTTAGTAGTCTAGTAAACTGTCCCCTAATGTGTAAATGTGTTCTCTGCAGATTGCAAAGACATTAAAAAGATACTCAGAAAAAGAGCACGTTGTAGACTTGTTGGTGCATGTGAACATTATACAACAACAACAGTAACAAACAACCTTTTTTTTTTCCCCTCTAATTTTGTATTGATATTAATAGGAAGGTCAACAGAAGTGTGGGTTAGCAGCCAGTAATACATGTTCCCACATGTATAAATATGTATATGGCACAGGAACAAGAAAAGACCTTGAGTTTGTATTAAGGATGGAGCTAATCCATTTCTCATCCAAAAGGCTTCTTCAGTTCTGACAGGGTTCTGATAAAATACTGTTGAAGGTAACTGCAGTGAGACTAGCACCTTCTAATTGTTTACAGTAAAGTTATGTGTATTATCTGAACTGTCATCTGAGTCATATTTTGACAGTTCAAACTTTAAGGTAGAGTCATGGCATATGGACCCTACCTGGACGACCCAAGGATTACACAGACTGTACCTTCACAATGACCAGCTTTCCGACTCCGTTTTCCTCCGTTTCGACAGCAAAGATTCCATCGTCGTTTCCTTCAGAAATATGGAACTCGATTTGAGAACTGCCGCTCTCTGCCTCATCTGCATCTGTCGCCTTCAGGGTGAGCAGGGTGTGTCCAACAGGTGTGTCCTCTGGCAGAGTGTGGCTGCCATACTGCACAGCCAAGAAGAAGAGTGTGTTAATACAAAAGGTTATGTTCATACTTCATTCAGCTCATATAAAGTCATGGCCCATAGTTTTGGTGCGGGTGGGAGGGAATGTAATGTATGAGAAACACTTTATGAATAAAGTTTGATTTGAGAGTTTGAAATTAAGCAGTTAAGAGTACTTTATACAGTTCAAAATGCAGAAAAACTATATTTCTGTTTTTTCATTTTGGATGTTTCTTTCTAAAATAGATTCAACCCAGCCCACCATCTGAGATTTTGACAAATTTTAAAAATTTAATACAGCTCGTTAGCTAAAATAATTACTTTAATTACTTTAATTACTCACATCTTGTTTCTCAAACAGTGGCAGCTCGTTGTTGACGTCAATGACCTTGATGACGACCTTACACTGTGTGCTGAAAACTGGAACATAAAAATGTTGTGTTTAATGGGGAAAGTTGAGAATCTAAAAAGTTCAAGTGTCATTCCTACATTTAAAGTAGAGGAAGAAAACGTAATAAATGTGTCCTAAATATTAAAGATGCACTACATAATTTTTCTGGTGGAGGGTCCGCAAAATGCTTCTCTCCATTAAGATGTTATTGCATTGTTTAGAATGTTCCACAGTGGCATTACATTTATCTCCATGGAGTCAAGCATGTGACACACAGTATGAATGTTTTCATAAATCCAAGATAGATAAGCTGAATGTTATACTCTGGCACATTCCAGGCAAAGCAATAACATCTCCATGGAGAGATTAATTTTCACTGGCAGACTTCTTCAATTTTCAAAGACAAAGACTCTCTATAACTCTAAATTGATTGATGGTTAACATTTTGTTAGTGGACAGACACCATCTTAATTAGGTCCTGTATTACTCAAAATTGTGAGCTTTAAGATGACAACTTAATGATGTTACCTCCTCAAAAACAAGCCTGGAGTTGTGTTTTGTCTCAGCCACACATGCTTATTTGAGCAATCCTTTATTGTCTGTCTACATCTCTATAATTCAGTAGAGTGTTGCAATCCCAGTGTTGAAATCATTCAAATCATTCTAGTGAAGGTGTACATGTATGTGTGAATGAAACAAAACACAACTCCAGGTATATTTGTGGTGAGGAAACAACATTATAACATACTGTAAATCAGAAAAATGTGTAACAAGGACCCTTTGAACATTCATTTGACATATTAATCAAGTTTCACCACATAATGTCCTTTATACCTCAGATTCACAGCCGTGTTATAGTAGCAGGCATATTGTGTGTTGTACCTGGGTCGCTGACTTGCACAGACAGCTGGTAGGATTTGGCGTCCTGTCTCCTCAGTGCTTTCAGGGAGCGTATCTCTCCGGAGGTGGGGTCGATGGAGAAGGCGCTGTTGGGCGGAGTTTCGGACTCAATAGAATACGTGAGCTGAGAGTTCAGGGTTCCCTCCTCATCATCGTCATGAGCCAACAACTGCCCGATCAGACTGCCTGCAACATAACACGGTAATTTAGTTAGATAGAGATCAAAGATAAAGATTATATTAACTTTATTATCCCCAGGGGGAAATTTGTCCTGGGCTCAATAACTGCATCTGAAAACTCACACTCATACATCACACTACAGTCAGACAACAGAGAGAAACAATTACACTCATACAGCTGGGTTGTGCTGGGAGCTGGACACATTTATGTAAACATTTTTGAAAAGTCTTAGTAGCATATTTCTGCTTAATAATTCCTGTAAAATGTTAGTTGAAAAATAATTTGAATTTACCAGGACTGTACAGTGTACAAATGTTTGACCGTAACATTGTGCTAGCATTAACTGCTACTTGGCGCTTAGCCTTGTGCATGCTTTACTGACAAAAGAAGTTATCAAATGTGCCACAATAGCACAATAGCGTATTTAGAGTGAATAATGTTCCACTGATGATTCTGCTACTTGGGGAAAGAAAAAGAAAAACAAAAAACAAAAAAACGCGACAGGCATTCATGTATTCATGTGCAGGCGGTGCTCTTGGGTCCGCGTACATTCACATTGCATTCGATTTTCGTATTGAAATGAGAATTTCAAAACTGTAACACTTTTTTATAAGCCAAAAATCTATTTGCTTTCTGTCCGTGTTTTTGTCGTAGAGCAGCCCTCAAAGACCCGTGACAAGTGTCCGTGATGTTCTTCACTTTTCGGACCGGGTTATGGCGCAGCGGCGGGATTCCCGGTGTTTCTGCAGGCTGTACATCACGGACAGCGGGGACGCGGTATACGCTCCGTAGCCTGGAGTGGATTGTGCACCAGAGTAGGTGGAATCGTCCCTGAACAAGGACTAAACCCACATTTGACAAGATCTAACCCGACAGCCACATACGCCTAAACCAGGTGAGTCCAGCTCTGCCTCTGCTCCGTCTGGAGGAGACCGCAAACAGCGGGTCCACGATCTCACGCAGCCCCGATCCAAACGCCCTGAGGTATGAAGTTCTGCAATGTTAATGTTTCATAATTATCAGGACTGCCTCTATTGTGAACATTGTTATGTTTATATAATGGAGAGAAGATCTTGTTTCAAACACTCAGACAATGCCATTCAAAACAAGATCTTGATTCATCCATCAGCTGCTTGCATTGAAAAATCAACTTTAAAAAAATAAATGACAATCATTGTGACCAACTGTTGAGGGCACAGAGAATTCCTGCTGTCAGCTGGATTTGTGCAAAAACAGTATTGTGTCATATGACTTGTTTAAATTGTGTTGATTGTATGATGTGCATTGTTTTAATACAAGTTAAGTTGAAATGGAATTTTGTGATGGTTTTCATTATTTTGCATTTGTAAAAGGGATTATGAACTAGAATGATGACAGCATTTACACTGTATTTGGCGAAGAAAGAGTTACTATTGAATAGTGTAACATGAAGAACACTCTACAGTCTACACTATTTTTGCTTCATAAAGTGCTAAAACATAGCAATATGGAGTTATTAGTTTTTCACTATACATTAGTGTAAAAAAATCAAATCTTAATCAGTGTCAAATTCAACTATGAGGAGTGTGGTTACATCACTTTACCAGTGTTGAGCCTTCTACACTTTGGAAAGTGTAGTTTTAACTAATTTTATTGCGGACCCCATATGACATGGTAAAAGTGTTAAAATTAACAATATACGAGTGGAATTAACTCTTGAATTTGCTGTGTATTTGTTAAGAGGGTACAGGGCTTAGATTCAAGGGAAATAGTTTTTGAAAAATTGGGTCGTAGAGTGTCAAATGCAGAACTAAAATCTGGAAGACCCTTGCATAAGTCTCGGGAGATTCCAAGTGTTTACAGATGAGGCGTGAGAGACTGATGACTGCGTCCGCTGTGCTAAGGCCTTGTCTGTATGCAAACAGCAATGGGTCAAGATAAGAATTTTCAGTGTGTTGATTTCAGCCTGTTGACCTTTACTGGGCCATTTGGACCATTTGGTCCAATAAAGGACCACATCTGTAGTCCTTTTTTTAGCTTTATTTGAGCCTGGGCAAGATATCTCTGGAATTGGTACTATTATTGACTTTTTCCATCCATCCATCCATCCATTTTCGTCCGCTTATCCGGGGCCGGGTCGCAGGGGGAGCAGCCTAAGCAGGGACTCCCAGACTTCCTTCACCCCAGACACGTCCTCCAGCTCCTCCGGGGGGACCCCGAGGCGTTCCCAGGCCAGCCGAGAGACATAGTCCCTCCAGCGTGTCCTGGGTCTTCCCCGGGGCCTCCTCCCGGCGGGACATGCCCGGAACACCTTCCGAGGGAGGCGCCCAGGAGGCATCCGGAACAGATGCCCGAGCCACCTCAACTGGCTCCTCTCGACGTGGAGGAGCAGCGGCTCTACTCCGAGCTCCTCCCGTGTGACTGAGCTCCTCACCCTATCTCTAAGGGAGATAGGGTGATCCAAAGATCAGAAACAGTACAATTTTCAACAGAAGACTGGGTACCAGGCCTCAGACAATTCCTGTACACAGCTCTTGATTAAATAAGCAGACAACCCATCTGGACCAGACGATTTTTTGGGACACACTTTGTTAAAAGATTGTGTGCTTGCTTGGTTGTATTCTTGCAAATCAATGTTAAAATCGTCACAAATGTTAAAACAATATCACAATAATTTTGCTCATTAAATCTCAAAAAGAAGTAGAAGAAGTTCAGATCATCTCATCATTGGTAGTTATCAACTCTGCCTTGCCTGTTGTCATATGAGTCATTTTTTCCCACATCTTTTAATTGTCATGGGACTTATGAGCTCCCTCTAAAGGGACCTTTTCTCTTGCCTGTTTAAGCATATTCTTTTATGTATATGTTTTATTGGTAGTTTCTTACTCTACAGTATTTCTATGTCTAAATTGCAAATAAAATATGTGTTCCTCACTAGTCCAACAGCATAGTTTTCAATGGAGCATTTAATTTTTGTAATAAGAATTCATTGCTAATAGTAGATCAGACTCAGCATTACTAACATTTATTTTTAATTCCCAGGTTAAAGTTAGCCTTTTTTGCCCTATGTAAATTTGTCCACTACATTCAACTTATTTTCCAATGCCACTAGGGTAACCTGTCAGGAGTAGAGGGGACACTTCTCCAGATTTTAAGCTATGTTTGGTCAGGACTACCTTATTTGGAGGATTTGAATATTTTGGGTTGATGGGGGACACTGGAGCGCACAAAGGAAACAGATATGGACACAGATAGAGACATGCACAGAAATTGTGCCACCAAAGGAAAAGGCTTCAATACCACAACTTACCAACGGGTTCATCCTCCTGCACTTCAAAAACGTTCTCCTCGTTATCGCACTGAGGCTGATTGTCGTTCACATCTTCAACAATAACGTGGATCTCCATGGGTGGGTCCAGCGGGTTTTCATATTGGTCTTCAGCAAAAACTACCAAGGTGTACTAAAGGAGACAACCAGGTTAGTCAAATAAGAGTTTAGTTTGCACATATTTTCTGTGTGTTGTGCTTTACCCTGTCCTTGTCCTCCCGGTCCAGCTCCTCTGTCAGCTCGATGTCTCCATCCTCAGAGATCCTGAAGGGGAATTTCAGCTGCCGTTCTTTCTGCACCAGTCGGTACACTGCATTTGGATCATTAGATTGAACCTGTAATGAAAGATTTGAATGAATTTTAATTAAAAATGTCTGGAAACAACCATATGGGAGGTTGAAAATGTGTGCACACAAACATTTAAAGGGTAACTTTTTTATTTTGTGTTATTTCATTTATTCATTAAAACATAAACCAAACATAAAGTAAGTGTTTCCGGTAATTGAATTCAGACATTGCAGGCATTAAAACTCAAAATTATAGGTACTCTATGTAACTTTTACGGTAGAGGGTCCACCACAGGCTTGTCTCTGTGGAGATAGGCAAATTTAATGCCATACTGTTGAACATCCTGGCAAATCAATAACATCTCCATGAGGACAAGCAGGTGGCGTACCCTTCACTGAAAAAATGACCTATCCTACGACACGTCAATATTAGTACTTACCTTTGCGATGGTGTGTGGATAGGACACCTTCAGATGCTCTTTGATGGTAATGGGTCCAGGGTTGATCCAGAGGTTTTGCTTGACAATAACATTGACGTAGGTGCTTCCAGTGAGAGCATTCGGAGACTCTCCTCCCAAATCCTGAACACGAATGATGAGGGTGTAGTCAGGGTCCTCCACAGGGTCAATGTTTCGCCTCCTGATCTCTGCAGTCATCATAAGACAATTTGTGTAAACCCACTCTATCCACAAAATACAATTTAACATCTAAGAAATGTAACGAGACACACACTAGATAAAATATTTAATATACAGTATATTTATTTTATTATAATTTATTGTTTTGTTTTGGTTTCTTCAGATGTGTTAGTTAACGTTTAGTAGTTTTAAAGCAATTTTAGTGGGTTGATTTTGCTAATTGTTGTGCTTGTGACTCTATATAGGCCTGTCACAATAATTATTTTATTGACTTAATATTCAATATATGAAAGCTAGAACAATATATTTTGGGTTCATGATATTTATTGTGCGTAAATGTGTAAATTTTCTTTGTTGTGATCGTTATTGGTTGATTCTGTTATTTATTCATTGCAGCTCAGGCCTTTTAATGATACTGTCTACTTAAAAATGGTTTACTAGGATTATCTTGCATTATTCTTATTGTATCAGTGGCATAAAGTAGTTTCAATATTATCGTTTATTGCAGTACATCTCTGTAACAGTATACTTATTATCATGACAGACCTAGCTGTGTACAGACCTGCTCTCTCCACACAGGTGAAGAAAGGGTTCTCGTCGTACGGGATGGTCTGCACTGGAGAACAGAAGTGGTCAAACTTTGTCTTCAAGGCCTCGAGGCTCTGGTCCTCTCCTCTGCTGTACCTGATGCCCTCCCGTGCCTTCAACAGCTGAGCCCCTAGTAAAACGAAAGCTTCAGTTACCACACAAACACATAGAGAATACACTACAAAAGACTAAAGACATTTAAATATCTGAGTTTGATTTCAGTAGCTTTGACTTGTTGAGCAGAAAAATTACAGTGGCATTACATATTGTCTTAATTATTTCGATTTAAACTTCTAAATATAATTTTTTGCTATGTAGAGGTAATGACAAATTTAATGAACCGTTTTCTATTCACTTTCGGTTACATTGTAGAGCAAATTACCTCCTATATTAAAAAACTGGTACTGATTAATATATTTTAACTAACTTCTTGTATTATTTTTCTCAAATCTGTACATTTTCTTTAATTACATTCTTTTCATAAAATAAAAAAAATCCTGAGCATACTGCCAAAGACACAAGTTGATTCACGTGCTTGGAGCTCAGCGAATATCACGAGACACATTTTGTCAATCTGTCAACAATCAGCCTTAATCTTGACCTCACAGCTCAAGTGCCGTTTAATCAGGTTTTACACTGACTCTGTGCAGCCATGTTACACACAGACATGGAGAGATTACAGACATTGCTTGTGTCATTCAAACACACTGTGGGTTTAAATTATCTGATACTCCCTATCGTCAGAAATTATGTATATACTTATTTATTGGAAATATCAGAGACTATGACAGCTTTTTTTATAAAACTGCACAGCCAATAAAATGTTTAATGTTAAATGTTTAAATGATAGTTCTCTGGCTTCTCTGCACACCCATCAGTATCTGTGAGCAGTACCTTCTGGGGTGGTGGAGATCTCCCCTGTGTCTGCGTTGACTTGAAACAAGTCTGTGTTGTGTTTGGAGGGAATCTGGCGCACTAAGCTGTACTTCAGATGAGCATTGACAGAAGCTGGGTCATCCAGATCAGAAGCAGCGACACGGGTGAATGGGACCCCTGAAATACAATAACAAATCATGTACAACACAACTGTATACTGTTTCAAAAACATCCAACTATTATTATTATACTACTATTACTCTTGCTATTTATTTATGGATCTCACTAGAACAATTGTGTAATCCCTACACAGATAATACAACATATTTTTCAGATCTGCAAAGGCAATTAAATAACAAAATTGGACAAATAAGGGTGAAATGGAAAAGAGGACCAATCCAAAAATATTTAATATATGTAATACATACATTAAACTACAGCTAATGTAAGTTTGCAAATGTCAATTAAGATACAATCACATACAATACAAACAAACACACATTAATTAGAAAATAATCTGTAATTTAAACAGAAGTAATATGTGTTTTTGGTTTACTTCTGTAATCTCATGTTCTTACCCGCTGGAGTGTTTTCGAGGACCACAGCTGTGTATTCAGTGGAGTCGAAGACTGGAGCGTGGTTGTTGATGTCTAACACATTTATGGTCACATAAATGGGGCCCTCAACCACACTGCCACCTTCCAAAGCTTCTACCTGGATTTCACCAGATAAAATGTTTACCAAAAAGATATATCCTTATTAAAGGAACAGTATGCAGCGTCACTCTTACAGATTTGAAAAAGGTATTACAATAACAACTGAGCCTGCGTTACCAGTGTTTCTTATCCTTACTCTATGAATGTCCGGACTTCACTCACTGAGCTGCAGAGGCTCAGGTTTAAGTAGTGAGGATTTAGATCAGAGAGAGTCCTTTTAGGTTTAAACCAAGTAGATTTAGATATTGGAACTGGTAACCCCGATGAAAGTCTCATTTTGATTGGATAATTGACTTGAGAACCAAAACACCAAATTATGACATAATAAACGTGGCCATCATAACCAAAGTTTTGTAATTAAGAGTCAATTAATATTACAATTATCACTAAGCACTGCAGTATATTAGATTTTAACATGCCTACCTTGTATGTGGAGACACAGATGTGTCATGTTTATGGAATTTAAAATGACAATCTTACATACAGTTCTTTTAAATCTAGACTGTGATCTAAAATGTACTGGTTAACAAAAAATCTACTTGCATCTTACCCCAATAATGTAATGATTGTCTCTAGACCAGTCAAGGGGTTGCTGCAGGTACAGCCAGCCGTCCTGTGAGATCATGATGTCTTCGCTTCCTTCTCCACTCAGACGAAAAGAATCGACTCCCGGATGTGGTACCTCGAACTGTGAAAGGCAGAAATACACCATATAGGAGCAGAGTGTGTTACACATAGTTACACCTGTCATCAGAGGTATAATACTCCCTACAACACAAGTATATCCAGACTGTCATCAGAGGTATAATACTCCCTACAACAGAAGTATAGCCAGACTGTCATCAGAGGTATAATACTCCCTACAACAGAAGTATAGCCGGTCTGGTCTTGATCTAAATGGACAATATTATCACAGTGTCTCTTCAACTCTCGGGGAACTTCAGTTTATTTACAACAAGATATATATATATCACTATAAAAATGTTCACAATAAATAATAACATAGAAAGTACTGACTCAAAAACCCTGTTTGTATAGATAGATAGATAGATAAGCTCTGTAACTCAAATTAGGTTAATCTGAGTTTTATTTTAACACAATCTAATCTAAATATCTGGCTTAGTTGTGACTCAAACAGGTAACTTTACAACTAACTGAGTTTGATTTTTACTGTTTAACAAATCCCTCTCAAATAACATTATAGTCACAAGCTAGTTAGTATTAGCCTGCAGTTTTTCAGTCACTCTTACCTTAATTACTGTTGCAAATTAAACATCTAAACAGGACCATAAATTAGGCACAGCCTCCTGAAAATATGTAGTTTAAATCTATTTGCCTTGTTCTTTAGTTATCTGCTAATTAAAAAACTTATCAGGCTGTGTTGGCGAATGTATTCATTGTGTCTCCATGTTAACCATAGACATCCATGCAGCCCCCCCTTTCCCTCTCCAGCATGATGTCGCTGCAAAGTATGGCACTCTCACCTTATGAATGGCGTAGGGGACAGGTGTGGCCTCAGGGACATCCAGAGCAGTGTTCTCAAATGGGCCTGTTTTGTCCTGGAGCCCCTCCCCTGCAGCCTGCCCCACACACAGGTCACACAGAGTACAGTCAGGATGAATCATTCCCACTTTTGGCTGAGCTACTGACAGTAGCAGTTATTTATTGAACTCAAATACATGAGAAGTGTGGAAAGTTACATTCAGAGAGATCAAAGTCTACACAGCTGACAAGAAATGACCCCACTGTCTTTGCAAAATCATCAAACTCACTGGTAAAAGGGCTGGGCAATATGTAATATATAAAAAATATCTAAACAGGATTATTTTTATTATATTTTGTCTAATTTAAAAAATGACTGACAATATTGATTTTCAACATAAACAAGACAGACTTTTAAGAATTGCATTTAACATAAAATAGTCGAATTTCTCCAGTGTGACCTCTGCATCAAACCACATGCTTTTACTGACAGAGAATCGGAGGTAGATATCTCCATTGAAATGGCCTAACTGAATTAATCTCAATAAAAATTTGATGAACACATCACCATAATCTCTCTAAGATAGCACGTGCAAATCTACATAAACAACTACAATCCTTTTATCAATATATCTCCCATGTTTAATCCAGGCCATATACTTACAACACTGAAGAGGAGAGGAAGTAACAACAAGTGGACTTTGAGTGTCATTTTTGCTCTAAAAGAAAACACAAAAGTGACACTTAGGTGAGACCATTTAAAGGTTTTGTACAGGAAAAGTGCTGCCATTTGACTTTCGCCTCAAAGTGATTTACAGTGACAGGGAAAATCTTTAAGCCCTTTACACACTCTGTCTGTCCTTGTCCAGGTGAATGAGAACATTTAAGTAACCATGAATGACTCCACCTTCTGCTAGAAACTGAAACTAGCAAATAAAACAAACATACCATAATCCCACAAAATATATATGTCAGTAAATTGTATGAGATTTATGATATCATCAAACTTATTGTGTGGTAGAGCATCTAAGGTTCATGTAGTTTTACTTAACGATACCACTTCATTTCCACCACTTTAATTTCACTTATTAAAGCATGAACAGCAACCTACTTTATGATAAAATTTTGATTCAAGAACAAATTAATTAAGGTTTCAAATGTTCTAAATGAAATAAACCTTGATTGATTAAGATGTTGGGGTTAGTAGTTAGTTAGAGGGTAATACTTAAGTAGTTACTAAGCCTGAATCATTATTAATAAACCATTTGTGAATTTATGAATGAAGTCTTTGTTCATGCTTTATTAAGGCCAATTATTATAAAGTGTTACCTTGACAAAGAGTATTCAGAAAAAGTTAAAATTTATGAGCATTTGATGAGACAATGAATTATCACAAGATGTTGACATCCTATAAACCTGCTTATAATTTTCTATTTAAAAGTGTAGTCATTTATCTTAATCTCAGACTACAACTATAAGAGTGAAGGTGACATTGAATGAAGGCTAATGACCTTTCTGAAGCACTGCTCACCTTTACACCTTCATTCACTCATAAGAACATGACAGACTCACAAATAGAACAATGCAAATCAATCCTATTTTCGTAAAGAAAAATAATCACAAACATGACATTTTAAGTTCTCATAACCTTAAGATGTAACATTAGTTTAACTAACTTGTCCAAATGCAGTCAGACTTTGAAATGACATGTCATCAGAGTTAGATTTATGCCTACAGTCGCATATACAAACAGTTGAAAGCTTAAAGGAAACAGTTTGTCCCTCTACGTGTGAACACCTGATACTAGGCCCAAAGTCAAGTCAAGATCACAAGCACTTATCAGATAAAAAATAAAACAATATATGGCACTATTACAGTAAGCAAAAAAACAACAAGGTGAATATACCAAACTAACAGTTAAAACTAACATTGAATTAAAAACGACAGAAGTGAAACAGCAGAGAGGGTGGGAGATCCTTACCTTGCTGAAGAAATCGAGCAAGTCACTCCTGAGAGTCCAGAGCAATCAGAGCCAGCTTCGTCCGTGTTTGGTCAAACGTTAACCAGGCACTAACTTGCAGTTTTATTGTATCTAATCATTGTCTAATCACCCTGCCCTTGTACAAGCAGCCAATGGGAGCAATAGGAAGTCAGACAATACAGCAATTTGTACTGTACCACCATTTCAAAATAGTAGATATAAAATTAAGAAAGGTCACTGGATACAGAGTAATTTAAAGGTCCTATATTATACAACACTGACTCTTGTGAGCTTTAAGCCACATTATAATATTATTACATCATCCAAAGATGAGTTTTGTTTCATTCACACATTTGTGAGTAAACCTGGTTTATTAGTCTGTCTACATCTCTAAAGCTCAGATTGCTCTGTTACACCTTGTGATGTCATGAAGTGGTAGTTTTCATGTTAACAGCTCCTTTTACCTTTGGTTCTGAAATCATCCCCTATGATTCTAGTGAAGGTGTATGGATTATAAAAACCCAGTAGAACACTTCATGTATTGCCACATGACATCACAAGGTGGAACAGACTGTTTTCTGTTTGAAAGAATAACTCTAAGTCTGAATATGCATGTGTGAATGAAACAAACCACAACTCCAGGTATGTTTTTAATGAGGAAACAAGTTTATAATATGGATCAGAAAATAAAGTACAGTCCCTTTAAGTGTCACTAAGCCTGATTCATTCTCAATAAACTACTTGTTCGCTAAGTGTGTTCCTGTTTATTCCAGACAGTTTAATCATTATTCAATAATTATTGTGAAGTGTTACCTAGTTTCAGTACAGCATGATCAGAAACTCTGTAAATGTTGAATCTTATTAGGAATAGGTCAAAAAATGTGCCATATTCATTTTATGCCCTTTAACGACAGCTGTGTGTGTTTGATTAACCACTGTTTAATACTAATATTTTACCTTCGTAGTACTTTTGACATTTTATTTTATGCCAGTTTTTGTTGCATGTGAATTCACCTGTGCTATGCCATGTTCTCCACCTCCTTATTAAATTCTTGCTCTTTAGAATGCAGTGATGTGGTAAAAGTGAGTGTATTTCAAACAAACTTTTCACACCAAGTACCACTACGGGAAATATTTGGTCTTCTGAGCACCGCCAAATCAGACTGAAACTGGTGTAAAATTGGACTAAACTAGTTCTGAGGATTAAATAACACATATTGTGCTATATAATTATAATCTACAACACTCATGGATCATTATGTGATAATCTGCACATTTTAAATCACAATATTCATCTAAAACAACTTAGTAAAAGAAACATGTCCGGTGACTTCCACATTAGAAAACTGCAGAGCCCAATGGGAGCTGATGTCACCTAAATGTCATAAAAATACAGTATATGTACAGTATATGATGTATAATATATAAATATACACATGACCATGGTACATGTACCACAGGTTGATGAACACTGCAGTCTAATAACCATCCAGAGTCTTGTGGCAAATGCAGACATATGGCACATATGAATGTAACATAGAATAGAACAGAAAGAATAATCCAAGGCCATGTCAGTAGCTAAATGCACCTTTTCATGGTTAAGCTTCTAATTTGATCCCAGACTTTGACCTTTGGCCCTTCTATCCATTTCCTTTGGATTTTTTATTAGTAGTGGAGTCTGATAAGAAGACGTCTCTAAACAATACAGTTCACACTGACAATCCAGCGCCTCACACTGAAGCACAGCTGAGGGTCACTCGGCTGGTCAAGGCCTAAATACAAGTTGTAAATATTCAGAAAAAGGTCAGTAAACAGAGCTACATGGGAGCGATGGTGCTGTCCTTTTTGTGTTGTAGACAGCCTGGATATGAGTCATCCTCACACCTATGGTTTTCATGAAAACCTCTGACTGAAGTGTTGGATCTGGAGACATTTGAATGAATGAATGTATATGAAAATGATGATCAGGTTAAGAAATAAAACATGTAAACAGGTTTCAAAGGGGAATGGGAAGAAAACTGCCTACATTACAAACATGCACATTAAAATGACTTGAATTCCGAATGATATTTCTTGTTTTGAGTAGTTAACTAGTTTAGTAGTTTTGATTTAATAATAATATAATGTGTTATAATTATTACTTGGTGGTAAGCGATTAGCCAGAGCTGCCCTAGGGTAGTGTGACGGAAATAAGGCAAGTGAAGGGTGAAGGTGAAGTGTCTTGCTTATGGACACAATGACACTCCATTCCAGCTCTTGTATTCCCAACAGTCTCCCAGCCCAATGTTAACCAGGCCCAACCTTGGTAAGATCTAAGATATGATAAAATTGGGCATTCAGTTTGGGGGAGGCACAGTAAAGCTCCACTAAACTCTCCCACAGCTTTACTCCACCCATAAACATGTGCTTTCTGCTGCCAGGTATTTCTCTCTGGATTCCATTTTTTATTGACTTGATGCAAAACTCACAAACACATTTTCAGGAGCATGTGATCAATATGAATGGTTCATGGTCCTGTTTAGGGGAGAATGACTCAAAAACTGTTGGCTAATGCTAGTTAGCATGTGACAGCAATGTTATTTGAGAGGAACTGGATTAACAGCACAAATTAACTTTGAGCTAAATTGGCTCTTTCTGGTCACATTGAAAGTCTAATAAAGCCTCAGACAGAGCAGAGCCTACAGTTAGCATCACACCTCCATGGAATGATCATGAAATCAGCTGCAAAGTATCAATATACAAAACCATTTTTATTAAGCCAACAGACACATAAAGACAAAAACCCAGAATTGAATCTTAACTATTCAAAGCAATATTCTGAGATCAAGTCACTTTAACTCATGTAGACATCCCCTCTCTGCAGTGAGTGCAGACTGTCCATTTCACAGCCAATGCCCCCATCTGCCCAACGCTGCCCAACGCTGCCAGGATGCAACGCACTGTACACAAAACAACATGGTCAAACGCTTGGCCAGTTACCATGGCAACAGTGTCTCAGCAACAAATCAAATGTCTCAGCTGACTTTATGGTAATTTCAGATCATGGGGGGCACACCATGCCCCAAACCTCAGTCTCATTAAAACTGGTTAATGAAGTTAATCTTTAATTTCAGTGTGACTCACTGTCAGTAATTGTGTCTTTGTCAGAAGAGTCATGACTCATGATATGGGAATATATGACTTCAAGGCTATTTCTGATCATAACCTGCTGCATTTATTTGAGTAAAACACGTCATACTTCCTTTTTAACATATTATTTTAAAATAATGGAGTTGTGGGCAATTAGTGTCTGTGTTAATCTCTCTATGGATTAATCTCATTTTCTCTATGGCATTGTAGTTGACCAAAATTGTAACAAATAACTTGACTGAAATCATTTTAAAGGTTTATGTGAACAGCAGAAGGGAGAAGGCATGGACCAAGTTAGCTGCAGTTGTGGGAGTCATATGTGGATTTAATCTGCCTTTCTTCAAATAAAGGTGTGGTAGAAATTTATTGTATAACAAGTTGCTTTTTTATGTGAGCCTATAATCTTGTGCTGTGCAGTTTGACATAAGAATTAAAGTTATTTAGTTATATAGATCATGTTTACGTTTCTAAAAAAAAACAACAACAAAAAACAAAACAAATTAGGACCTAGCATAATTTCCATAACACTAAAACATAAACCTGGTTACTTACACCTAAACATTCAATGACTTGTCATAGTTTATTAACCATTTATTATCTGGATGACAATTCGGTTGTTATTGTTGTTTTTAACTTGAGTTTACAGGATTTGCGTTATTGTATTCATCTAATCAGAAAATCAGTTCAATGAGCTGAGGTATGTTATGTGGAAGGTGACAAGAGACAGACATTATCCTTATAATTTTTATTTGGGATCACTGAATCTACAGATAAGAAAATACACATAAATCCTTTGTATATACACTTGACATAAACTTGACAAAAAATATTTACACAAATCTGTAGCTTATTAATTTTGGCAACTAACAACTTTAACAGTTCATTTAGATCACAGTAGAAGTATGTCAGCTTTAATACTGAGCATCACAGGAACGAGGTTAAAATGAGCCACTGGTCAAGAACTGCACAGAAGTGTAATAAAGTTCATTCAGTGTCATTCAGGTGGTGTGGTGGCATAGTGGGTTAGGTCTTCTTCCTCACAGCAAAAAGGTTCAGGGTTCATTTCTGAGATCACATGTTCTCCGAGTCCTTGTGTTCCCAGCGTCTGTGTAGGATTAGGGCCAGAGCTCACATGTGAAAGCAGTGTGCTCTCAGCCTCTCCAAGTAAAACATGTTTCTCGTGAGGGACTGTTTTAAATACTCATCACTGGGGTGCATCAGCTCTGAGTAACTGTCCATTAAAGTGTCCAAGACTAGACTAAATCCACCTGTCTGATAAAAAACAGTAGTGAGCAGGACGCCTACCAGGCTGTAGGATTAATTGCAATCAAGATCTGAACACAATTAGCAAATCGTTAAAACTACAATATAGAATCATAATTTCCTCCACAACAAACAAAATATCCTGTCTTATTGTGCATAAAAACAGCTATTGTAGATCTGCACAAACATGTTCTGAAATCTCTTTCTTGTGTTACTTTGTCAGTTCAGTCTTTTTGGCAGTTCCTCAGGGCACACTTTAAATGTGAACTTTGAACAGAAATGATTAAATCATAAATCGCAAATCGAATCGCAGTGCTTGTTAGAAAACTTGTAATTAGATATTTTCTCCAAAATCTTTCAGCCCTACAGCACAGAGAGGTCGTGGCAGGATTTGGATTTGAGCCAAACTGCGACATTGGGGTTGTTCTTGGCCACCACTTTGTCAATGAAGCGTTTGGCCTTTAGAGGCAGGCTTTCTCTTCGCACGCTGTTTTTCACGTAGCGCCGGCGTTTATTTGCTTCCTTCGAGTCTCTGCGCAGGCGCAGCTGTCGGACAATCCCGTGGAAAGCCTCCCACACGTTGTGCTGCATCGCGGCCGAAGTCTCAATGAACTTGCAGTCGAACACAGCTGCACAGGCTCGGCCCTCTGGAAAAAGAGGACAGTTACACATCTGACCTGCACTGATAGAGCTCTACAGGGTGCCCATCAGCCAAGTGGACATTCAAACAAGGTGATGTTATAAATATTGGTCCTGATAAATAGGGATCACCTGCCCTCCCTTAACTCAACCCCAAATACATGACAAGACACATTCAAAACAAAGAGATCATGTTATAATAAATGTACTGACCCTGAACTGTAGTATAGTGTAAATTACAGTATGTTCAAGTTTAAATTGCGGTTAACATTTTCAAAGCTGTAACTACAAAAAGTTTATAATTTGGTGGGGCAGAAGTTAAAGTGGTCTATGCATTTATCCATACATTAACAGTCACATTACAGTAACGCACCACTCGATGAAACCTCTCTACGGCGCACCAGGTCACACTTGTTGCCGACTAAAATGATGGGCGTCTGCTCCGCAGGGCGAAACTGGCGAAGAGTGATGCGCAGCTCGGACGCTCTCAGGAAGGACGCGCGGTCAGTGATGGAGTACAAGAGCAGGTACGCATCACCTGCCTGCATGGGGCAGTCCTGAACACAGTTATCGTCCAACTGCAAAAAGAAGACGAAAAGACGAATTAAGACCATTACATCTACAGTAATAGATCCAAATCTACAGTAATGGATCCAAATCTTCATCTCACCTCAGCGTCCCATGTGTCAATCAGAGTAACTGTCGCAGTCTCTCCATCTACTTCAACCTCCTTTTCAAACACTTCATCTGAAAGTGACAGAAAAGTGTCAGAATACACAACAACGGCCTATATCTGGGGAGAAGTTTGTTTTACTCACCTCCGCACAGCTCGCACTCGTCGCTGTCCATACTGTCCGCAGCTCCAGCGAAGATACTGGCGAAAGCGGTTTTCCCGACCCCACTGGCACCCAGCAGCACCACGCGGTACACGGTGGGAGCGGGAGACTCTCCGACCGAGTCTGACGAAATGACTGAGTCCGAGGAGGACCAGCTCCCCCGGCAGCCGTCCGAGTCTCCTGCCGAGCCGCTGCAGGACTTGGACCGGGAGATGCAGGCGGGCACACGAGTGAGCAGACTGTCTGAGGGCCGCCGGTTCCCAGGGTCACAGATGCTCCAGCGGTGGAGCTCTGAGTGGAGACGGAGGCTGTGCCGACGCATACTGGAAAACATGGTGTCCTGGACTAAACGATGCCCGTCTTCGTGTAAAAAAAAACGTATGGTTGTTGATTTAACTTTTTCAGAGTTTAGAGAGACATCGTTGCTCGCTCCAAACTAGTCGTAAACTCACTCAAAACGCAGCGCAAAATGCCTTTGCACGTGCACTCCGGTTTCAAAACAAATGTAAACTCGGACATCACAGAGTTATCTGACGGGTGAATCCGCTCCAGGACCGTCTGTGCTGTTATCTCCATCTCCCACAGGCTACAAGTGTGCGCGAGGCTCTCTGGGCTTTATATGAGGGCGCGTGGAGCGCTCACGAGCGCGCGCTCACTGCAGGATGAAGTTGGAGAGTTGAGTTTTTCTAATGGAGCACCGCGGGATTAGATCAGTGCACTAGGGATTAAATGTGGAGTAAAAGTAGACTGCTGCTGCTGCCGTGAGATCAGACGGTAACATATAGAGTATAATGACTTCACCCTGTGCCTCCGGAGAGACAAAACTCAGGAGAATGTCCGTTAGATGATAATAATGAGGTCATTTGGTTACAGGAAAATACTGTGGACTAAATAATGTCACTGAAACACACAAACGTAATTTATGAACCTAATCAAATTAATATTAAGAAATAGTCTTTTTGAAATAAGTTGCTCTTTGAATATTGCTCTTGGTAATGAACCAACAGCTGACAATGTGTGATTTATTGTTCCAAAGACTGATTTAAAGGTTGACTACAGGCAAAAGGACAGGTCAATAAATCGAACCGAGCCCCAATATGAAGGTGTGGTGACAACAAGATAACCTAGTTTAATATTGACCAGATCAAACAACCCAGCAGACAGCCAAACTCATCCTCCCACACTGGGAATGATGCCAACTGTTTCACTCTGAGTCACTATCATTTATGATTTTAAAATATAGTCCTTTTTGGCATTATTTTCATTAACATGTTCAACACTGTAAAATGAAATTGTTAAATGAATATGGGTTTTAAATTATATAATGGATATAGAAACAAAAGGCATTAATGCACTTGTTATTTTCATGAATGAGCTGCTTATGTAAAAGTCCACAGAGACCCAGCGTCATGAGTAGTTGTAAACATGAGATGTCCATTAGTGAAAATACATTGTATAAGCGAGAGGCACAGAGAGTTATTATATTAATTGTTGGATTAAATTGTGCTGTTTGTGTTGTTTTCAGGACTTGTATGTGTATGGGATGGTTGTCTCATCTGGGACCTGCTGCTCTGTATTACAGCTCTGATCGGCCTGACAGATGACGGGACATTAAATCCTTGTTAAGTGCTGGAGCAGGACCAGAGAAAGGGCAATGACCACGGACTAAAATGACCTCTTTTTAGCTTCTTTTACAGCATTCACACCAAAACAAATGCTAATGCATGCTAGAAACCCTTCACAATAACAAACGAAAAATATTAAGACTATAAATAATGTAAAAATATATGAAATAATAAAATACTAATAATGAAATGCTAGAATGGATAACTGGTTAAAGTGATTGACAAATTATTATTCTGCCCTATAAGGAGGGTCTGACACCTGCCCCATAGTTGTGTTATTGCTTTGACTGAAATGTTGCACAGTATGACAGTAGTTATCTATCTCCATGGAGACAAGCTGGTGACGAAACCAGGTCATATCTGAATGGCAGGTCATATCTATATAAACACCATGAATCCACCTGAAACTGAGTAAGATGAATACCTTTAAATGCCATAACATTCCAGACAAAGCAATAACATCTTCAAGGAGACAAGCAGCACCAAAAAAGTTACTAAATGCAGCTTTAATTCAGTAATAATTGGAACATTGCAAAACTGATATTGCCATTTGAATAGCTGGCAAAACTGAAATAATTCTACTTGTCACAGAACATTCAGTCCAGTTGAATGCATTCTTAAACAGGAGGCTGGAGCTGGTGAATGAAACGTGACATTGATGGCCCCGGTACGTGCTAATACTGAAGGCTTTTCTCTCAATCCTTTACATTCACATTTTCTGCACGTTTTCAGGGACCAGATGGTTTAAACCTCCAGTCTGTCATTCAGTCTTTTCATCAAAACAAGTTTATCCCCTCTCCCTCTTAAGCTGTGAAAGTCCTTCGTTCATTCACTGCTACAATTATGTCTGATCATTGAAATCTATAACTGGTGGACTGTGTGCTCATGTGTTGTCAGAGACTACTTTTAACCCCCTAGTTAAAAATAAAAGTTGAGTTGCAGGGCAGTAAAAAAATTAGCCCATTCAATGACAAAATGTTATATGATTAATACTGAAATGAATTTAAACATTGTTTCTGAAAGTACAAATGAAGTAAGCTACTTTTTCACAGTAGCGAGTTACACAAGTTAATTTAGTGCCTAACAGGTGGCTGAGTGGTTATTATCAAAATGGACTTTCTGTGTTTTCTGCGTGTTCTCCCATGGGTCAGGTTCAGTCATAGTCACAGCTTGTACTAACCCTACCTCTGATCTTCTCAGTTTTGTTATACAAGATGTGTGGGCTGTATGCTTGCATTTACTGAAGTCGTTAAGTTGATGATGTTTAATTATTTTGTATTCTAAAGGATTTATATGGACCTAGACATTTGGCAATAAATATGAACATATTCTGGTTTTCCACATTGCCTGTGAACTTCTAAATAATAATAATAATGCATCAGTTTTATATAGGGCTTTTCTGGACACTCAACAACGCTTTACAGAATATTATTCACTCCACACTCAGTGGTGGTAAGCTACTATTGTAGCCACAGTTGCCCTGGGACAGGCTGATGGAGGCGAAGCTGCCAAACTGCACCATCGGCCCCTCTGACCACCACCATCACTCAAGCACACACCACTTTCATACTAGGCAATGTGGATGAAGTGTCTTGCCTAAGGACACAATGACATGTTTTATGACTGTGGCACCTGACTTTCCCTGCAGTGTCCCATCCAAATACTAACCAGGCCCGGCCTTGTTTAGCTTCTGAGATCTGACGGGATCAGGCTTTGACAAGCTGGCATGGCTAACAACATTTACCACTATGATTCAACCGTATATTTACTTTGTTAATTCCACACCCCATTTGCAGGACTATTTGTTGTACAGGGCAAGCAGATCAACCCGTATAACAAACAAAGTTTATCTAAAAACAAACTTCACTTACTTTACAATGACTATGAAAATTATGAGCTTCAACAGTTTTTGTTTGGAGAGATATCTTTTAGAAATAGTGAATCGCCCGTAGAGTGCTCATCTAAATTGAAGACATCTTCAAACAAAATAAACTGCTCCTCTCTGAGCCAAGTGTACATGGGCACTGAGACTCGGTCGATAAATAGTTTGGACAAGAGCAGCATGTGGGCTCAACACGTGTCTAATACTAAAGAGCTTTTATTCAATGTCAACTATGAAAAAAACACAAGCTGAATCTAGCAACACTGAAATCCTCAGGAGCTGCATGAAGTTGCTTGGTGACAGTTGCCATGCCATCACTGACAGCTGACTCATACTTTCATGTTTAAAGTTATCAACATAAGTTATACAGACTTGATTGTACTTATTCATGTTTTTCTTCTGTAATGGATGCCAAAGGTAAAACTTTTTGGCATTCAAAGATAAAAAACAAAACAAAAACATGAATAATACCTAATATTTTGTTTCAAAATGTTAACTGCTATGTCAACTTTCTTAGATTTTCATAACTTGAAACCCAAGGGTACCACCATTAGTTAAATTTTTTTAGTTCAGTATTCATCGTGGGTTTCAGCATCTTGTTTATAGATGCCATTTTGAGCACATCAGCATATTCAAAGGATAATATTCTGTTTTGAATTATTAACAGCCATAGTTTTGCCATGGATAGCTCTATTTAAATTCCAATTTAAAATTAATATCAAGACTTTGTAAAAACTAAAGTGAAATTAGCACTAACCTGAGTTTAAAGTTTACCTTGGTTGATTCAGTCACCTCATGAGTAGTCAACCAGTGTTCATTGACCTGCCGAACAGCTTGGTGCACTAGCACAGATCTACATCCCAGAAACCCATTTTGAACACCAAAGCAGCACAACAACAGATTGTTGTTTATCAAATAGATAATAATGCTCTTTATATAAAAGACATTGTATTGGCCGGATTGAGCTGGAGAAATCCAGATCATGAGGATTTAGAGCAAACAGACAGAGAAGGACGTAACTCCCACTCAGCAGCTTTGGGTCCAATCACCAAACTGCATCTGCCAAATCATCAGTAAAATCTATGAGTCAAACTGTGACAAAAACAAATGAGGATTGGCTCTGCTCTGATGAAAAGGCCTCTATTTGTTTAGATGGCACCTACAAAGGATCTGTAAATAAAACATGGAAGCAATAACTAAAGGTGCACTACGGAACCTTTTTGCTTAGTTCACTACCTGCTTCTCTCCATGGAGATGTTATTACTTTGCTTGGAAATGATTTAGAGGGAATATTGGAACAGTAAAAACCTGTAATGAAATGAAAAGAAATGAAAGAAATACTAAATACATATATGTTTAATGCAATACTGTGGAACATTAAGGCAAAACAATAACATTGCCATGGAGACAGCCTGACCAGAAAAGTTCTGCAGTGCATCTTTAACTATATAAACTGTTTTTTCTTTTTCTTTTTCATCTAATAGTTGTGATTCAATTCTAATCAGGGTAACAGTAGTAATACAAATTGAATTGGACAGATTAATAAATGTGATTATTATCAATATTTGTAATGAAAATAAAAAAAGAAAAGAAAATTGTGATGTGTGAGTATGATATCATCACATTATGAAATCTGCAAACCTCCAACAGAGAGCTGACTTACATAGCAGAAATTGTACATTTGTCATATTTTTTTGTATATATAAGAGGATACTGAAAAACAAGGTGAGACGGGTCAATGGCTTCTTTGTCAACCAACATTTTTATTAGTTATTTTATCAGTATTAGAAATTATTTACTTGGAACAGAGCAGAATAAAGGCATGAATGAGACAGTTATAGACAGTTCTAACTCATACTTTTCTTGTCTTGTCCATGGACTTTGGGTCAGTTTAATTACAGAGATGGTTTTGAGAGTTTTTTTCTAATGCCCCGCCCCCTTTTAGTCCACTAACCGATGCACAGGACATCTTTAGTCGACCAAAATTGTCTTTAGTCTCTTACAGTTTTAGTGCTTGGTTTTTGGCCCATGTGTTGTATTCATTGAGTCATGTGAGAGAGAGTGGTTTGAAAGGCGAAGGTGATGTGTTCCCGTGCCTGGTCGAGGTAAGGGTCAGAGAAAGAATGTGTTTCACCAGAGAAATGTCTCCATCTCATGAGCTCAGACATGCTCAGATTCTTCTGAGGTGCTGCTGCTGTTGGTCTCTCTCCTCTGCGCCCGAGCTGACAAGGCCGCTCCATCACCTGCTCCTCCTCCACCTCTGCAACTGTAAATGTACAACCACATACAATACATTACCCATGACTCACTAGCCTGACATTACGACTGTGTGGGAGAGAAAAGGGCCTGTGTTATTATGAAGAACTTTTCATTTAGAGCTTTTAAATAGGCACTAAGTGAGACTTTAGATGTTCTTTTTTCCATGGAGATGTTTTGCCTGAAATATTTCACAAAATAACATAAAACTAAGCAGTCTCTATGTAAATGACAAGTGACCCCAAATAAAGCATGACAATAAAAATGTCTATAATTAAATACATTTAAAACAGATAAATGTGTACCATACTGTGGAACACTCCAGGCATAAGTCATAAAACAAGCTGGTGACACACCCTCCACTAGAAAACTTGCGTGTACCTTAATGTAAAGCACTTTGAGTGCCATAAAGGTGGGTATATAAAACATGACCATGTTACCTTTAATCTTATTATGAGAAATGTTCTATCTAAAACTGTTACGATACTTCACTATTCAGTTTCCTACATATTAAAGGTGCACTGCGTAGGTTTTCAGTAAAGATGTCTCTATGGAGATGTTATTGCTTTGCCATTAATCTACAGTAATCTCCATAGTGGAAAAGGAGCTCAATTTGAAGATTTTGAGGTACACATACATTTGTTTAATTTAGTTAGAAATGCACAATACGGGATTTCAGGAGCTTTGAAAACGTACCATTAACTACTCCGTCCATGCTACAGGTGCAGCTGAGCAGATCATGGGTAAGGCACTGGCTGTCAAGTCAAGCTGAACAGATCTCGTAGTTCACTGGTAGAGAAGGTGGTATGCTCCGACCCTTTTCCAAGGTCTACCACGGTCCCCGAAAGTCCCTGTTTGGACACCTGTCTCTGAAATATTCGCTCCTCTAGCGTTCCTAAAAATGAAAGACAATAGAGAGTTAGTTTGTATATGAATATTGTGATTGTAAAGCTTTTTGATAATCTAACCTGCAGTAAGGAGACGGTAGATATGAACAGTCTTCCTCTGTCCATCTCTCCAAACCCGAGCCATAGCCTAAACAAAGAATACAGCAGGATTAATGTAAACTTTTTTGATATCTGAACACTGTAGCAAGTCCTTTTCAAATGTTACAAGCCACTATTGTTTTCTGTATCTATAATTTCAAAAATGTGTCTTTTATGCACACTACATAATAATTACAGTGCATCTTATCTTACTGCTCAGCCAAAAGGACAAACTAAACATATGGGCACATAGCACCATCTGGTGGACAACTAAAACAACGGCACAACAGAAAATCACTTCTGCAGTTACTCACCTGAATATCATTGGCCGGGTTCCAGTCGATATCATACAGCACGAGATGAGAGGCACCAATCAAGTTGAGCCCGACCCCTCCCGCCTTGGAGCTCAGGAGGAACAGGAAGTTCTGTGAGTAGGGGCTGTTGAAGCTGTCTACTAAACGCTGCCTCTGATTGGTCGGAGTCTGTCCATCGAGTCGACAGAAAGTGTAGTCCATGAATGTGCAAAGTTCCTCAAGCATGTCGAGGGTCTGGGTGTAGTTAGACACCACAACCACCCTATGGAAAAAAAACAACAACACAATAATTACATGTATAGTTAAACTTAAAGATGCACTATGTAACTTTTCTGGTGTGGGTCTTGCTTGTCTTCATGAAGATCTCATTGTCGTGCCTGCAGTGTTCTTCAATATGGCATATGCATTTTAGAAAACTGTAAGCAAGGTCACCTCTCCACAGACCTGACTCAGTGGCTTGTCTCTATGGAGATATATACTTGGAATGCCCTACTGTGGAACATCTCATGCAAAGCAATAGCATATCCATGGAGACAAGCAGCTAATCCTTGATCAAAAAAAGTTATATAGTGTACGATTAAGGATGACTGGTCATATACTCGCCTGTCTGAAGGGCTGATCTGTCTGATAGCTGCCAAAAGGTCTGAAAGAACTTGTAATTTGCCAGAATCAGAGATGTTTAGGCCAACTGAAGTGTAAGATTCAGGGAACAGGTCAGCCAATCCCTCGTATATGGAGCTTTCCACGGATTCACTGTGTGTCTTTTGCTGTAAAATAAACAGGAGGTTAAATAGCTTGAGGTGAATTTGCATAACTAAAGTTGGATGTAGATTCTTTCAGACAGAGGTTGCAGAGATATAATTTATGAAAGAAATACCCAAACAGAAATATACAAATACAACCATTCAGGCTAATTTCACAGTTTTATTTTTCTACCATCTCAATATGAAACCCTTAACTAATTAGGCTAAATTTTTGCCTGACACCTCACAAAAACGGCACCTATCGAGATATTAGTTCAACTTGTAGTAGTGCTAGTAACTACCACTGCTCAATATAAGTCTGTGAAAAGCCACAGAAAATGGATCCAGCATGGTGCCAAGTGACCCAAAATTTGACTGGCCTAGCAAAACCAATTTGATATTTCTAGTAAAGCATATTACCTTGACAGTATTGTAGAGTAGCCCAGGGTGGTTGCAGAGCTTTTTCAGGGCAGTAATGCATGCCAGATGTGTGTGAGTTTGTGCATTGTCCATAATGCAGGACCTGAAGACTCTGTGGCATAAAAGATGTCTGTATAAATCGTGCTGTAGAGGGGAGGGGCTGCAAAACAGGGTCCAGTCGAGGCGAGGTGGCAGGTAGCGGTTGATAATCTCTTGTGTTCGTCTTAAAATGAACATGCCAGTCAGACGGGACAGTTCTGCGGCACGCTCTTCTCCCAAAACTCTTTCCTCCTGAAGAGAAAACATAAGATTAATTAAACTAACTAATAGTTTAAATTTCTGTCCTAAGCAAGTACAAAATTAAGGCACAACTACTGTAACAAGTCCAAAAAAAAGGTTGACTCCAATAAATGTATCTACTGAAAATGATTCAATCAGGAATCAATGTCACCACAGCCTAAACAGTAATGTATGGGAAGCAATGGGGAGAACAAAATGCAAAAAGTATACACAAAAATGTATATTATCCAAAGGAACAACAGAAAATCTGTATCATTTTAAACTGTATATTATTTACATTTAGAGATTAAAAATGCAAGCATTACCTCTGTGCATGAGGGCTGTCTTGACCGAAGGATAGGTTCTTCATACACTTTTCTATAAGCATTAGAGGATCCAAGGATCCCTGGGTTTACAAAATCTATGATGGCATAGAACTCCTGAAGGTCATTTTGCACTGGGGTACCTTTAAAAAACAAAATGACATGAATAACAAAAATAAAAATGTGGAAATCTGATCTTTCTTGGTTAATTAATTTCACCTGTTAGAATAACCCTGCGCTGGCAACATAAACTGCTCAGAGCGGAGGATGTTTTAATGGTGCTGTTCTTTAGCCTGTGGCCCTCATCACAAATCATGAGCCCAAATTCAACTTTCTGCACCTGGAAAAAGAAACAAGAAAATGATCAGTGTGTAAAATGTGCTTTACGAGTACATAACTACTAGTGTATGAAGTACCTGTTCTAGACACCGCAGCAGCATTTCGTAACTGATAACCAGAACATTGTGCAGAGGAGAGGTCAAAAACTGCTCTATCCGGTGGTCCTGCATGTTAAATTTTCATTAGAAAATTTATTTATAAACTTAGTTAACCAAACAGACAAAAGAGATACACAGCATTGTAAAACTAACTTCTTTCTGACCAACTGTGTTAAGCATGTACATACAACATTCTTCTGCATATCTGAATTTTAATATCTTGTTATTCAGGTTTTAAAAGTTACCATTAACTTTTTTAGATGTTTGGTTAATGCATTTTTTATTAATTGACAGTAACATCTCCTTCTTCTGACCTGATCCACAGTGAAGACACTGATCCTCTCTCTACCCAGCCACTTGTTGAACTCTGCTCCCCAGTTCTGTACAAGACTACCGGGAGTGACCACTAGGGTGCGCTTTGCCATGGCTTTCCCTCCATATGGACCCTGTTTCAATAAAGTCCAGGTGAGGGCCACACTCTGCAGTGTCTTCCCCAAACCCATCTCATCAGCCAGGATAGCACCAAAACGACCAGCAGCTCTAAAGGCAAAAGAAGGAAAATTAATATTAAAATGTATTCACAATAAAAAGTGTGGCATGATTAAAGATATAAGATGTGCATGTGTTTGTCCCACACTGGGGAATTAAAGTAAAGGTAAAATATTTTGAGAAATACAGTAAATTTTGGGATTGCAATGTTATGACAGAAGCAAAAATCTGTAAACTTTAACACTATATCAAATATTGTAAGCTTTGAAAAAAAAAAAAAAAGCGACTTGTCAAAACATGCTAAAATAAATATGCTTAATTCACTGTATAAATTTTCTGATGGAGGGTACACCGCCTGCTTGTTTCCATGTTCCCCAGTACGACATTAAACTGATCTATCTCCAAGCAGGAGACGAACAAGTGCCATCTCCAGGCCAAGTTATGAGTCAGATCTGTGGAGAAGCACGCTTGCTCACAATAAAAATACATGCTTTTTAGTGTAATTTAGGCTCAATATGTTTTTAGAGATGTTAAATGTGTTAAATCTCCATGGAAACTAGCAGATAGCATAATTGCAGTGCACCTTTAAGATTCTTGTTGACTTTTCGTTGTTACATCTGGAGATTTCTATACTGTATGTTAAGCATCGTACTATGGGACTTTTCAGGGAAAGCAGTGCACAGTACCTCATTCCCATCACGCACTCGTACAGAAACAGAATGCCGTCTCTCTGATGGGGCCGAAGGTGAGTGGTGAGGTGTGGATCAACTACAACATCTACAACTGGAAGACCTGACTTGTTGTTGGACCACTGGTGGCTGGGAGACGGCCGAGGCATTACCAGAGCTCCTGGAAATAAGAAACATACATGAAGCATACATAATACACAGCATAAATATTGTTGAATTGCTCTGTACACTGTAAAAAATCTATTGACAAGTTAAAAGGTGCTCTGTGGCAACTGGCAAGTTACAGGTCAGATCTTTGGAGAGGTGATCCTACTAACAGTAAGAAAGCATGGTTTCAAGGTATCTTCGAGCAATTAAGAAAAACATGAATAAATGCAAGACAAATAACTTTAAAACTACTAAATATTTTGAATTGCAGTATACCGGGTGCTAGAGGGTCATGCCGAGGTTTGCAGGTGTGTTCCTCTTCTGGTTTAGGTGGTACGTGTCCCGCTCGATTTGGGGGAGCAAAAGGTTTAGAGGCAAAACCCCGAGCAGAAGGAGGGGCTGGTCTCGGCTGATCTATCTCCACTTGAACGTCCTGAAAACAGCGCCCGCGAGCGAAGTTTTTAGCAGAAATCACCCCCATGACCTCCACCTCCTTTCCTCCGATCATCAGAGTCTGACCCTCACACAAGGTGGCTAACTCTGACACCTTGTAGCCACTACCTAAATATTGAAAAGAAAATATATAAGTGATCAGTGTTTTTCATTCACTCCTTTATTCCAATAAACTATTTTTGAAGCCTCAGCTGAACTGGGGCTGACACCAATGACCGCACATATTGATTCAAACTCAAGCATAAATATATATACAATTCTTACCCAAGGACACAGTGTTAGTATGCACTGGTCAAAGGGTCAAACCATAAAACTTTTGGATTGTGGTTCAACACTTTGTCACTGAGGTGCTCCCCAAAGAAAGACTCCATGGAAAACATAACAAGAGGTGGGCATTAATGAGAAAATCTATATCCAGCTTTGCATGCTGAGTAACATAAAGAAATACGTCCCTCAAAGAGACTTTCACAAAGCCATACATGCTTTTATTATGTTCAGGCTGGACTGTTGTAGCTCACTCTACAATAGCCCGGACCAGACCACCCTCTGCCGCCTCCAGGGGGTGCAAAACGCGGCAGCCCGCCGCCTGACAAGGACCAAATAGTGGGAACATATTACCCCAGTGCTTGTCACCCTAACAGTTTTAGAATACATTCTCCTGTGAGTTCTTAAAAGCCAGTATGGCCTAGCGCCATCTTACTTATCAAAGGTCCTACAGCCTCACAGGCCCAGTCCAGCTCTGAGGTCTGCAGAACAGCTGCTCGTCTCTGTCCCTCGCTCCAGAGTGAGACAGGGACTTCACTGTGGCAGCTTCCAAACTTTGGAATAGCCTTCCTTTAACCATTAGAGCTCCGGAGACATGAGAGCACTTTAAAAGTCTGCTAAAGACACAACTATTTGCACAGCGTTTACCACCGAATAGCAGCAACTTCCAATTTCATTATAGTGAAATTGCTATTATTCCTTCAACCTAAATTATCTTAATCATGTTTTTGTTTTGCTGTATGTAAAGCACTTTGGCCAACAGTGATAGTTTTTAAATGTGCTATGCAAACAGACTTGTCTTGACGATATTCGAGATATATTTATGCAATCAGACATAACAGCCTAAACATTCCTGAAGTTCACGAAGTTCACAACAAAATATTAATAGATTTTAATCATATGTTTTTACAATCTTGACCACAGAAGTAAACAAAAACACTTCAAAGGGAAACGGACAAATACATCTTTCTTATATGTGAGTATTTTTCCACAGTGAACTAAAAGTAGTGTGTTTACTCCGTCCTTACCCTTTCCTATATCTTTGCCCTCCATATCTTTCAGGGTCGCGGTGCGTCCTCTGGTCACAAGGACTGCATCCCCCTCCCAGCGCTTGTGCTTCTTCTTACTGGCTTTGCACCACATCACACTGAAATAGCGCACACCATCCTGTGCGCAGGCAGTGCGCGGGTCTGCAGCGGGAGTTTGAGCGTCATTTACCGCTCCTGTAAAATAAAAGCGTTCATCTTTAATACCAGCAGAGGTCACTGTTGCACAGGTTTACTACGCCACGCAGTAACAGAAAGACAAAAAATCTGCTGCACTGAAATTATACACAGACAAAAACGCAAGATTTTACAAAATGAATTTCACTTTAATGAAAAGCGATTGTATGAATGGACCATTGAACAAAGCAACAACACGTTTTACAAAAGATTACAACACATATAATACAATATACAATTAGATAATAAAAACAGCAACAATAATTTCATTTATTTTAGCCTTAATACTTGAGTGCCTCGACTAAAACACTGGAAAGACATTTCTTTATTATTTATTTTCCACATATTTAAGGCTTTCATTAATGAAGGTAAACTGTAATGGCAGAATGTGTTTAGTTTTTTCCTTATGTACTGCTACACCACAATAAGCCTTAATGTTTGATAGACCTTACAGAACAGGCAAAGGTTGGCTGAACATTGAACAATCCCAGCGACAACATATAACACTGATTGTAACAAGATTTTCTGCTACTCATAGTATAAGACTATGTAACACTACAATTCAATAGACGGTCAAAACAATGAAATTACATCTGATTTCAACCCAGCCTTATATTTTGTTGTTGTAAATATGCGTATAGTGCTTTTTCTCATTTGGCTTTAAATGTAGTTAAGTTTTTAAGTGTTACATTGCCTCAGCCTTGGCAAGTTGGCTACATGACACCCCATTATCCACTGTAACACCATAAATCAAAGAGGCACTAGAATGATTTCCTACAGGACCCATGATAAATGTAGGCTTGTCACGATAATGCATTTCAAAGTGCAATATATATATTGCTGAAGAAAATGAAAGAAAAGGAAAATGTCAATAATGAAACTAACTTATGCCAAAGACACAATAACCCTAAAGCAGGATTATTTAAAAAAAGTTCTAATTGTACAAAATCTATTAAAAACATGAGCTGCAATAAATAAACAGCAGAATGAAACAGTTTAGTAGTTTGTATCTATAATGAGTCATAGAAGTTATTTATTCAACCTTCAGCTCAAATCTTCTCATAGCACAGAAAAATAACAAAAGGTTCCCCACTAGTACAAAGAAAAAATACCCAAGATAAATACTGACGCCCAAAAATGCTCGTCCCATGTGTCGTATACTGAAGTCGATAGTAGTTATCGTGACAGGTCTAGATAACTGCCTCTTCGTTTACACTGGTCAGCAGGTTATTGTGGGAGAGACAGTCCTTGTCTCAGCCTCTCCGCTCTGAGCATCTCTACTGTGATTTTGGCTCGTATTAGTTCCTCCTCTAGTTCCTGTTTCCTCTTCAGTGCTTCCCTCTTTTCTTGTAGGTAGAGGGCGACCTTCCTGTGATTGGACAGCACTAGTTCCTGCTCCTCCCGGGACAGCTGCAGAGACTGAAACCTCTCCACCTCATGTTGGGGGTAGATGTTGTTGGGGTAAAGGTCATTTCGGATGGCCACTGGTGAAACTGGCATTGGCATGTTCACAGAGTCAGGGGATAGAGAGGCATCATAGTCCTGGTTACTGCTCAGCTCCTGCTCCCCCTCCTCTTCTTCACCCCCCTCCTGTCCCATTTCGGGGCGCATGTTTGGGGCATGGTCGTCTGAGGAGGGTCTAGCTTCACTGTCAGACTCCGACTGGATCTGCTCTTGGGACATGTTTTGGACATCTGAGAAATCCTGGAGTCCAGCCAAAGAAGAGCTGCTGCCGGGATGTTCGATGGGAACACCATGTTTGTTTATCATCAATCTGAAAATGTAGTAAAAGTCTTAAGTGAGTACACTGTATATGCATTGAGGGAGATTATTCAAGTTGTTTACATAGTAACTATGCCATCCTATGTCACTAAACTTGAAACATTTAAAGGTGCACTATGTAACTTTTCTGGCAGAGCGTACAACCACCTGCTTTGTCTCCATTGCTTTACCTGAAGTGATCCACCATATGGTATTTAACTTCTCCATGGAGACAAGCAAAGAACACCATCAGGCAAAGTTACAGTTCATATCTGTGGAGGAGTGACCCCAATCCCAGTAAGAATGAATGTTTATCAAGGTATTTTTTGAGAATATAAACACCTGGAGTTGAATGCATGCATCCAGAAAAGTTACATGATGCACCTTTAACCTTTAAAAAGTTTCTTATTTCTCCTGAATATAGCTAATAAAGAACCTATCGGCCCAAACAGGCCCTATCAGTTTGAATGGAGGGCTGTACCTGTACAGGGCAGGCTCCTTGTCCATGAAGGGCACATGGTGGAACAGGTGAGGGATCATCTCCATGATTCTGCGCGTGGGCTCAGAGATGTTAGACCTGTACTCAGGCTGGGCGTGTCTTCGCAGCATCACCTCTTGTTTAGCGGACTCCTTCAGTCTCTTGTACAGTGTCCTGAGGCCCTGAGCGGTGCGATGGGGCCGATCTCCTCCCAAAGTGTTGTACTGCTCCGCCACAGTTTCCCAGCACTTGTTCTTGTCCACGATCACTGCATGCTTGTTGGTGTGCTCCTCCAAGATGCGGATGTGAGGTCGCACCAACTGCAACAGGTCCAGCTTCTCCGAAAGAGTGAAGTTTGAGGAACGTGCCTTGCCCACCATACTGGACAGGAACATGGAGTTGGAGCCAATCATGCTCGTGGCCATCTTATTGGTGATCATCTTTTTGTATAGCGGACTAACGCAAACTAAGTCAGGCCTAAAACTGTCACCTTTCAGTAACCCAAAGTCTGCAGTGCCGTTCCCATCCGCATGGTCTTGCCCTAGTCTCTCGTGGTCCACAAAGCCAATACTGCTCAGGCTGCTCCCATCTGAGTGCTCTGCTCTCACTCTCTCCTGGCCTACACCTAAACTGTTCAGACTCTTGGCTCCCATGTTCTCTGCCACTGCTGCAGCCCTCTCCTGGTCAAGACTGAAGCTAGCACTCCCCAGACACTTCCCAGGGTGCTCTGCTGCTGTCTTCCCCTGGTCCATCTTAAAGCTGGGACTAACTCCCACACATCTGTAATTTTTCTTCTCTTTCCCTGAATCAAACATTACCTATTCCTCAGGTCTATGACAGAACCTCTACTCCTGTGTTTCCTCTCAGCTACGTTTCACAACAAAGACAGACTGTGCAGCACACAATAAGAATCAGGCTTAACTAGGCCAGCCTCGTTTTAGGCCCCCGCCTATCGGGAAAGGCTTTGGATGAATTCCTCCCAGCTTAGACTGACGTAGCTAAGCCGCTTAAGCCCAGCCCGACCTAGTTACAGCTGGGTCTCTGTAAACCCCAAACCAGGCATAGTACAGACTAAAGCAGAGAAATGGCCACAATGTGGATGAAACACAGCACAGGGCTGTCTGTGGAGTCTGCATCATGAGCACAAACAGCCATGGTCTTTAAATACATGTTTCCTTTGAAGAAGTGCCCATTTTTCGCTAAAACTTGCAGGGTTTAGAAATAGTGCTGGCTTAACTCGAGGGGGGAGGGATTCGGGGGGTTTGCGCGTGCGCAGTAGTCAGGAGCGCTCTGGCCATCCACAGTTTATCTAAATAAACACCGCATCTGGATAACGTGATCTATACGTGATAAGAATCAGAGAGTGCGAGGGAAAATAAATAGCACGTAAAGAGGTGGTCGGTGTTTTATAAAGACACAGAAATGGAGGCACTGGTTGCTTTGCTAAAGGGAGCGGCAGCTCGCTGATCCCAGGCTCAGTCCTAATCTGCGCGGCGCTGCTCATTTGCATAAACCAGCCGGGTTTAACATCCCTGTGCGTCTGCCGCGCGGCTTATTATAGCCACAAGACCGGTCTGGACTGGAGCCGCCGGGCCAAAATACAGACATTTACCGGTAAACCCAAACCAGCCCACACCACCAAAGACAACATACGAGTTATGAAGCAATAATAATCATGACCCTAAAGGACTATCAAAATATACAATGTCTGGTACCACGACCATGCGATGTAATAGCGGCTTCGGTAACTGCGCTCCTCAGAGCACAGAATATTCTCATAGTTTAGTATGTGAGACAAGGAGAAGAGTTAAAATTGCAGAGGTCTTGTTTTTCCTCATTTTTCAGGCTTTGGACAAACACTACGGAGCCATTTCTGAGCACGTGGTGGTCTGTCTCCAAATCAAATCTCCAGGATTAGACTGCTCTCCAGGGGTGTGCCCTCCCCCACAACTCAGGAAAACGCTAAACCCAAATAAATGAACGGGCGACTCGCTCAATATTAGCCAATAGACCTGTAAAATATATTTACAGCCTCAACCGTATGTAGTGAATGTGTCGTTTTTGTAATGTGTATTTGCTTTGGTAAACTAATGTATTAAAAAACAAAACACCCATCTAATTAAAGCCACAAACACAATACATCAGTTTTGTAGCCAAAAATAAAGTGCTGTAACCTGGTTATGTATCTAATCCAGTGTTATGAAATAATCCATGCCACAATGTTTGATGAAGAGGCCTGAATTACCACTAAATTCAACAAGACTGATGGTCCATATTGTTGAGAAATCACACTAGTTTGCATGGCGTCTGTGTTAAGATGCATGCATTAACTGTAACTATGTGCTCATCACTTAAAAGTAATAATAATAGTTTGATACTCTGCACTGATATCCTCAACATTTCCTTGGGGTGTGATGCAATTGTAGGCTCTGCTTTGTCTGAGACTCTGTTACTCAATTTAGACTTAAATCTGATCTTTATTTTAACACAATCTGACCAAAAAGAGCTGACTTAGTTGGAACTACAACAGGTGAGATTTGTACTGTTAAACAAGTGCCACTCAAAAAACATTAGTCACAAGCTAGCCAGCATTAGTCAACAGTTTCAGTTAGTCTAGTCTAGTCAGTTTTTTTTGTTGAAAATCAGACACCTAGACTGCACCATGAATGCTTAAATCACAGGTTCCAGAAAATGTGTTGTATTAAAACATTTAAGTTTACAGGATTAAATCTTAAAACTTCTTTGTCAGTGTTTGCCAGTGCATGATAACTGATCAATATTTCACCATAGAGATACATCTAGATGCCCCCCAGTATGACCAATAGAGCAAATGTTATATTATTTTGAGAATTATTATTTGAGAATTTTCTTAAATCGGAGTGCTTTTATGCTTGTGTTCCTTACCGTCAGGTCCTTCGCTGTGCTCAGGTGTATCAGGATTCTCAAAGACATCATTTTCTTTGCTCTCTGTTGCGCTTAAAACACGGGCCAGAGCTCGAGACAAGGGCATGGCAACCGGAGCATCTTTAGAGAGTGCATCTTTACTTGGACCATCAGGAGTCAAACTTCTTTGTATCTACAGGAGTAAGAGAGTGTATTTGTGGTATTAATAAGTGGAGAACTTCAAAACTGGAGTAAGGAGGTTATAGGTTGCATCACATAATGTCATGACATGAGTCTATAGTGTTTGCTTTAGAATCCATTGTTAATAGATGAATAGTCATCTTGCTATGATTTATGGCGAATATCTCCATAATTACTGGTGGTGAAATGTTTTACTATTATGTCAAAATGGAGCCATATAATTAAATAACACATGTATCACTGAGAAATTTGCCACAAACATGTAAAGAGTGACATTGTGGATTCCATAATGGTATTTTCTGTCAGGAGATTTATTTTAAAGGATCTATATTATGCTATTTTCTGGTTTAAGTTATAATGATTCCTCATCAAAAACATACCCAGAGTTGTGTTTTGTTGTTTTCACACATGTTTATCACACAAACCCTGCATATTTAGGCTGAGTTCTTCTCTCAGACAGAAAACACACTGTTCCATCTCGTAATGTCATGTGGTAAAACAGGAAGTGCTCCAGTGTGTTTTTAAATTCTATACACATTTACTAGAAGAATTTGGATGATGTTGAATAGAGCATTTTGAGATTTAGAGATGTAGACAGAATAATAATAATTACTCAGTTATGTGTGAACGAAAAAAACACAATTCCAGGTATGTTTTTGAGGAGGTAATAGCATTATAACACATCTTAAAGTTCACAAGAGTCAATTTAGCGTAATATAGGACCTTTAAACTGATACCTCCCTCATAGAGTAATATATCGTAACTTCTGTCCTCCATCTAAGTTTTTGCAGGAAAATTGAGCTGTAGAATGTGAATGCAACCTATTGAATGTTAATAATATTCATTTACCTTATCAAGTACGTTGACACCTTGTTTTGGGGTGAATGGTTTGGGATAAGAGAAATTAGACCCCGATGCTGCAGGAGGCACAAATCTGGGCTTTTTCACTGGATTACTCAGGAGCTGACTAGGTGCCCCTGAACGCCTCATGGTTTCAATGTAGATATCCTAAAAGTCACAAAAAATATACAAATATTATAACAGCAGTTATAGATGGTAATACAAAGTTTGCATTTAGATGAATTGTGTATGGCAAAAGTATGGGCTAGCAGCACCATATACTATGATTTTAAACAGTCTGTGTATTTAGCCTCGTAGTAAGTCATGTTTCCCAGGGACTATTTCAGTGATTCTCAACCTTTATCTCAAAATTTTAACAATGGATACCAGTGGATATACAGTTGACCAAAACACCCTTCTCTTACCTAGGAAGCCAATATCTTATAAGGAAGATATAACTTGTGTTATGTTTAATAATGATGTTACTGAACAAGAATCATGATAGAAAGTACTTAGTAAACCATTAACATCTCTTCATTACTACTCAAGCAGTCTTGATCTCCAAACTGCCCTGTAAAGTTGTGGGGACCTCAAAATGTGGGTCCTGACCTCTAGGTTGGGAATCACTGGACCACTACAGTGTAGTTAAAAACAAAATGTGCCATAGGTTGGTGGAGAAGACTATACTCATAAATTATCATAAAATAATAGGGTGACCAGAATTTCAAAATAAAAAACCAAGACATCCCCATTTTTGGTGGTTGGTAATAACAAAATTGTGAAACGAGTGTGTAATTAAGGAAAACTGTTATGCAGAGACCATTCATGCAGAGACACATTTTCTTTGTGTTTTGGTCATTTTAAAGCAGCTTTTCTGTATTTTACTGAAACAAATTACAATTTATGCCTCTCTTCACTGTTAGCAGGGATCAGATTGGTCAAAAAGAGGGACATCTGGGACATTTCGTGTATAAAACTAAAACAAATCACTGGTTTTGGATAAATCTGCTGGGACAGAGGACACAAGGATCAAAACTGGGACTGTCCCGGGTAAACTGGGACGTCTGGTCACCCTAAAAAAATAAATTATTTTAAGCTAAAAGGTAACTGTTACATCTGATCAGAAAAACGGGTCAAATGCACATGGTTGCAGAAATTATGACTTTAGATCAATGCATTTCTACCTATTTTTAATTTTTATTTTTTTATTATTTTACACATTACAGGTCCACTTCCGAGTCTGGGGATAGCAGCAGGCTAACAACAAAACTGTTACTAACCCAACGGAAAACGCACTTTAATAGATTACTTTGCCTGATCATCATGTCATACATACCAAGGAGAGATGTAGTTTATTGGCGATGTCAAATCTGAACTGTTAAAAGTCTAAATGTTGTTTTTTCGAAGGTTTATTCTCAAAACAGAGGCTTTCTCCCGCTAAAGAGCTGCGGATTCCGATTGGTTCATTTCCTTCAGTGGGCGGGGCTTAGCCGAGGCGCGTTGCATTTCGGATCTTGAACCTTAAAATTATATATAACTTTTTTTTTAGCGAAAATATCTAACTATTTTGTTTATTGCACAGTATTTTAAACATCAATACAATCAGCAGTCTCTTTATAATACTATTTTTTACGGTTTAACGCCAATTCCAAAGCAGGTAAATTCTAATACCAATTATATTTACTCGTTTAATTTCATTAGTGTGCTTCCCTCTGTTCCACACTATGGCCACCGGGCAACAAAATAAATTATATATGATAATAAAGCAGCCTAGGGTAACATTTGACTCGAATAGATTAAATATGATCCTGTGAAACTATTCCATACCACTGTTAGAATAGCATATTGATTCAGTTTCTAAAATGTAGTGATGCCACACTCCCAGATGGGGGCAGGAGTCAGTATGTTACTGTTGTTGTGCTATAAAGTATTATAGAGTACATTTTAAATTTAAAATATCAAACAAAAAAATTCACAATGCTCCTGATCATTCATATTATTGGCATTGAGGTATTATTTATGTTGTCAGCTCGTCCTACACCATGTTATTTGCATAAAACATTGGATAATTTTTTACCATTCTTATCATTAAAAACTCTGTTAGACACTGTTGATTTATGGAAAGTTTGAAGTAATCTAAAAAAGAAACTATAAATTAACAATTGCCTAATATTAATTGACAATATTACTAAAATTTTGGGAGGAGTAGGCTAGTACAAATTGTTATTGTATATTGTAAATATGGTAAAAATATAATTTCATTGTAATTTGAGGATTTTCATGAATAATGTAATGGTAGAATAATCCTCTTAATGATAGATTATTTTGCATTGAGAGAATTGTAACATAAATATACCACTGGTTATGTCAGTGGTTTTTGATTTTTGCTGTTTGAATGTGATGTTGTACAGTGCGTAATCTAATCAGAGAGGGAGAGAGTGTATAATCCATGTTAATCCCACGTTCACAGGGAAACTTGCGAAAGGATGGGCCATTGGGACAGAAAGAACTGCAGGACAGCGGTAATCTCTTGGGACTAAAATAAATGACAACAATATTATAATGGCGACTTATTGAGCAGCACATTTTGTCCATGTTTTGCCTTTCATGTCTTAATTTGCTGTAATGCTGCCTGTCTGGTTGGTTTTCATCTGACAGCTGGCGGGCTGGTGGTCTGGTTGTCAGGGTGCATCTCCATGGATACTCTGTCCCAAAGGAAGAGGCCCTCACCTGGATGCACCCACACAGGGAGGTAGGAGAGGAAGAAGAAACAGAGAGGAAGACATATCTCAAAAAAAGATACGGAAAAGTCTGAGGAGGAAATAAGGAGAAGGTGAGTTTGTGGTTTTATCACCGATCGTGTTGTTGCATTACTACATTTCAAAGTTGATTTCAATACCTAGGAAAAAATGCAATACAAGTTTGATACAACAGTGAAACTATGCTTCCACTTACTGAACATAATAGTTTCTGAAAGACGGCTATTTGTATTTTAAGGCAATATTTTGATGACTTTTGACCATTCAAAGATAGATATTGCTTAAAATAGTTTGTTATGGCAGCGGTGCTTGTTATCTCTCTGAAACCCTTGAATACTCCCTTTCCATGCATTTCCAATTGTATTGTACATGTATAGGAAAGATGCATTTGTGTGTATTAGTTTAATTTTCAGAAACATTTACATTCTTTTTCATTATAGATATCATTAGTTGCCTTTAGTGTAATATCAGAATAGTCCATCCATGGGTTTCACAATGATGAAATAGTAGGAGCATTGCCATAGCAATTTAAAGATGCACCATGTATTGTTTTTTCTGGCAGAGTGTCCAGGTTAAGTTATAAGCCATATCTGTGGAGAGGCAAACCCACTCACAGTAAAGTAAGGTATTTTTGTGCAATAAAAGCACCTGTAGTAAATAAATACAACATGTATAAATTTAATATCCTGAGGTGGAACATTCCAGGCAAAGCATCTCCATGGAGACAATCAAGTGACAGACCCCTGAATAGAAATGTTACATAATGCACATTTAAGCCAAAATATTATATCTTTGAATTGTGGAAAGTCCTAAAAATGTCACCTATAGCAAGACGCTGAAACCAATGTATAGTTGTATTTGCAGCTTATAAAATCATAACATTTACAGCTAAATTGTAACCAGTGCTATTTCCTGGTCCTGCTCTTTGTCTGCATCTATTTTTGTCTCAGGATGGGGTTTGATCTGGAGAGGTTTGTGGGTTATGTGAATGAAGGACTTCTGTGTTGTGTTTGTCGAGACGTGTTGGAGCGCCCTCTTCAGGCTCCTTGTGAACACGCCTTCTGCAGCGCGTGCATCAGCAGCTGGTTGGTGCATCACAGCTCTTGCCCCGAAGACAGACTGCCCCTGGATTCAGGCAGCCTCAAACCGCTCTACAGGTCTGTTACAGCAAGATCATTACATTTCCATTTAATGCTTACAGTTTACAATTGCAGTATAAGAAAGAGTGGATGGTTAAAAGATTTGTCACATCACAACTGGTTGTTATAACATTTTAAAAAGAGATGATGTCCCTTTATCAGAAGTCAGCAGGGTTTAGTATTCCTACAGTAATGATCATACAGTCTTAGTCTGAAAAAATACCCAAAAAGAAAAAACTACACATGTTGAACCTAATCATTTGTGAAATCCATCCAACCACAACTCAAAATCAACATATTGGTCATTGGTTAAGGCACAGATAAATGTTTTTTTGTATTGATTGTAATGTATTTCCATAAAGTAATAAATAGCAGAAAGTTATTATTATTGATATGTTGGCTTAGTTATATATTACTTTTCCAGATGCTCAAAGTCACAGTGGCAAGCTTCTATTGTAGAAAAGCTTTCTGGGTGCAGACTGAGGGTGGACTGATTGAAGTGAGGCTGCCAGTCAGCACCATTCACCCCTCTGATCACAACTAACCACTCACACCACATTCATATCAGCCTAGATCAGGAAGAGTGTGAAGTGTCTTGCTTAAGGACACAACGACTGTATGCAACATCTGTTAGCGACTGCTGCCCCACTGTGGCACCAGATGTTCCAAGCTCCCATTCATTGCTTCTAAAATCAGATGAAATAGGGCATTATTCACAAAGTGGTATGGTCACAGTTTAATAAACAGATCATATTCATATTATAATGAGGCATAGGTTGATGATAACACTATAAACACCAAACATCTGCATATTAACATTAACATACTTTAAGTGCTATGCTCCCATTTCAATTAAGAGCCATAGTTAGGCAGTCGTGGCATCTTCTGAGACCTACTTAGATTTTTTTTTTTTTTTGTGCAGGTACATGCGTAATGACCTAAATCGTCTGCAGATCCGCTGTGTGAACGCGGGGCAGGGCTGTGAAGTGGTCTGCTCCCTGGAGAACTTGCACGCTCACCAGGACGAGTGCGAGTTTGCCTTTATATCCTGCTCCAACACAGGTAGGTCAATGATTCAACTCTGTCCAATGAATTACTGCAGCGGTAAACATAGACTTCGCAACTAAAACAAAAAACACAGACTTTATGAACCTTGTCTGGGAAATTATTGACGGAGTATCTGAAGAAGTAAAATATAAACACGATTAGGCCAAACAGAGCAGTACAGAAGTAGTATATAAACAACTAATAGTCAATAGAAACAGTTATATGAAGGTATATAGACATACAGTGGTAATGTGACACCTATGAGAGAGCAACAGGATGCCATCGCTGTTGCTATGGTTACACTTTACCCATAGGACTTTTGTTGCCTTAAGAGAAATGTTATAATTTGTGATGGAGAGGAGAGTAGCCTATAGGACAATATTCAAACCTTCTACTTGGATATTTCTCTAAAATTTGTTGAACATAATACACTTTTACTGGGTCCAAAAAATGGCATATTAATTTCATTTACATTATGGCAAATGTAGTTCCTAACAGATAAAGAGATTTTTATTTGATTTTTGGTCAAGAAGAAGGTCTTTTTTATGATAAATAGAGATCCATAGATAACCATAAACCTTATGGAAACATGTAAACAATGATCCCTGTATGTTGTTATTTGAGTGCAACTTACCGGACATGTCAAAGTTCACCTGTAAAATATTTCAACATTACTGTACTCATAAATGAAGTTTCTATTTGATTTAAAAGTGCCCCATGCTAATGTATGGTTGTCTTTGACAGATGGAGAGTACATATGTTGTCACTGTGGTAGGTGGTGCATGTGCTTGGAGCTTGGTTTTAAGTTTGTTTTAGCAGTGGGTGATATGGAAATAATGTCATAATTAATTTTCTTAGAGCACAAATCGCAATTTTATTTTGATTTGGTATAATTAATAGCCTGGGAAATACGCTGGCTTGCTTCCTGCAACATTTTGAGGACTTTTTCCTATTCACAAAATGGAATATTTACTCATAGATTTTCCTAATTTTTCATCATTCTGAATCCATACATAAACAACTGTCTGTTTTTAGTATTAGAGTTGTATTAAACAGAAAAGCACCAAATTACAATAGAACAATGTTTCAAAACAGGGTCAAATCACAGTTAGATTTTGTCATCTTGCACCTTTAGTTTGATGATTCGTGTTTGAGCTGGTCTGGTTTTTGTTGTGACTTACATGAGAATACATATGACAATATTAAATGTTTGATATCTTGTGTCAGGATGTCCTGTGCAGGTGGAGAGGCGGGGCTTGGAGGCTCATTTGTCCGAGTGCAGTTTTCGCAGCAGATCTTGTCCAAATGGCTGCGGTCACACGCTGCAGTACATAGACCAGGCCCAGCACAACTGTGTCGCAGAGTTACGCACTGAAGTGGAAATGCTCAGGTATAGTATGAAAATGCATCTTAATTTTCAGTTTCTGTTTTTCTATTATTACTCCTGGTACTCCTAATTGATTTGGTCCAGGTCCAGTCCGACTTTAGTCATGCTCTATTCCAGGCTTTCTCTAAGCTACAGGTTTAATATGCAACGTTTCTCCACCTGTGTGTCTGATGTTTCTTTGCCTGAAATGTTCCACAATATGGCAGACCCTCGACCAGAAAAGTTGCATAATTCACCTTTCCAACTATCTGCAATTTATTGTGCATGTGCTGGTCATGTTAAGAGCTACCATGACTAGTATATTTTTCTGATGTGATATCAATAAAGATGTAATCTTTTATCATATTTTTCTGGTTTTGACAGAGCAGAGATGTTGTGCAAAGTGGAGGAGGTGAGACGTGAAATGGAGTCTCGTTTGGATTCTCAGAGGAGGCACATGGTTCAGAAAGAGTCACAGCTCAAGAGTGAAGTGGAGGAGCTCAAGGTCAGCGGACTGTCATATTTTCACTGCACTGTTTCACATTTAAGGTGTGTTGTATAGTTCTATATTTATAGTAGAGATGAGTAAATCTACTACTACCATCTACAAAAGCCAGACAAAAGAAGTTGTGTTACGTGGCCAGCCAAAAAAAAAAAATTTACATAAATGAGTGGATTCTGAATTTGAACAGAATGTAGAACATTTTAGCAAATTTCTGATTAATGTTAAGATAATTCTAACTCATTTTAAATATCACCAACCGGTTCTTTCATACAGGGCCAGTTGTCCCGTGTGATGTGTGATGTTCGTGCTCTGTTGGGAGCAGAGCGTCTGAGGAGACAGGAGCTGGCAGAGGCAGAGCTCGAGAAGAGGGAACTCCTGGAACTACTCCGAGACCTGCCCCAAAGAGTCCACCATTCCACTGATGGAGCAGCCAAGGACCAGAGGTGAGGAGAGGAGACAAAACATGTACTGGAAAAGTTTTTGTAACTTTAAAATTATGTCTCTGGTGAACATACGGCTAACATTCTGAGTAACTACCTACACAAAAACTAAATACTACCCACCTCTTGCAGAGACCCCCGCCTGGAGCATGCCCAGTCCTCTGAATGGGCTCTGCTGACAGAGTCCCCTCGACACCAGCAGAGGGAGAGTCCGCTGCACTCATCCAGTCTGTCTCTACACTCAACCCAGACTCTGAGCCCACCCGTTCTCCCTCCGTCACCACAGCTCTCAGCCCACAGGGGGAGCACTCGCAGCCTCACTCTGGACTGCATCAAGAAGAAGAGCCGAGAGGTCACGGTCATCTGAGGGCACCTGATCCTCCATCAATCAAATGTTTATTTTTATAATTTCTGTTACATGCTGCAGGATGTAGGGACATGCTCGCAGAACACATTCTGGGCACTTTGTTTTCCTCAGTGATGTGAGATTAAATCCTGCTCAATGTTTGTCCCTGATCTTGTCCCTATGCTGTTATGATCACAACAGTACTGGCTACTTTAGGGTCCAACAGAATTCCTTCCTCATTTTTTATAATTGGCATTTCAACCTGCGTTATGGCTTTGTACAATAGTGTACTCTGTTTTTCCAGATATAAATGATACAATAATCTTATCATTACACCTAAATGTTTAAACAATCAGTTTTAGTAGATAAAAAGGTACACCACTCACTATTTGTACTACACATACAATTGTGATGATGCTTACTTCCCTATGCAACTGAGCCCATCGGCCAAAAATATTGTTGTGTTGTTGTTTTCTTACATAGAAGAGCTAAAAAATTGTGTTTGTTTTGTTTGATAAAGGAAGAAAATTCTCAGTTTTGCTGTGTTTTTCAAACAAAAAATATATCCCTTTATGAACAATGCAACATTGTCATTGTCATTTTGTTTCATATTTTAGCAAAGTCCCACAGTACTACAGTTAAGTGTTTGGAAAGAATGTTTTGGAGAGAATATTGTCCAAAAACAGTGTTTCTTTTTTGGTTTTATTAAATATTTTATCATTTTTACAACAGTTAAAGTCGCTAATGTCCACATAATAAAAAATGTCTCAGTATTGAGTAATTGCTCAGTATGACCGCAGATTACAGTTCATGTTAAACAAAACAAAAAACAAAGTCTGTTTTCCAATTGGGCAATGATCCCCCTGTTTGAAACTGCCTGTGATCCAGGTAAAGCAGTTAGTCATCTTTGTCCATTTACCTGGTGAAGGAGCGGACATGTCGGCCCCTCCCTCCTCCACTCCCTCCTCCACTGAACTTGCTCCCTTGGGACCCTCTTCCTCCCCCTCCACCCCCCGCACTGCCCCCTCCTCCACTCAGCCACGAAAGCCCGGTGCCCCCTCTGCCCCGCGGAGCTCTGTCCCGAGGAGCGAGACGATATGCACCTGTAAAGAATGGACATAAACAATTAAAACGTCTTTTTAGATTTTGTTAGATCAGGATTAAACTAAAAGATATTGACAGTAGAGAATTAAAAGTGCATGAAATGAAACTTTAGTTAAAGCAAGCAGTGTGAATCATAGAGTAATATTGAGCCACATTCTTGCTAAAATATTGCCCAAAATATTTACAATTGCTGTAAAATTATTCAGAATAATTGAGATGGTTTAAAATGACTTAATTTGGAAATTAAAAACAGATTAACAACTAAGCATTGTGGCAAAAAAAAAAAAAAAAAGCAAAACAATAAAACATGGAAAAGTATACACACCAGCAGGAGGTTGTCTTGAAGGCAATGGTCCCCTGGTGAAGTTGCTCTGACCCCCGCGCGGTTCACTGTACGTCCCTCTGTGTGTGACCGCTGGGACCTGAGCACTCCACGAAGAACCACGCCCGCCTTCTCTGCGAGTGTAGTTACCTGGAATAACACAAGGAGAGTGTGTTAACGCCCTCTACTGTCCACCTCTAAACCTGCATTTTCTAAAGTAACAACTTTCTATGGATTTTTTATTTGAAGTTTTAGAATATCAATGAGAATTTCAGCAGCTTTGAGAGTTTAAGATGTATTATTTACTTATTTTTATCTCGCTGCATGATCTTGTTTCTGACTAGTTTAAATGTTTTGTTTTTCTGAAAATAAAATCAGTGGACTAAGTGGAATAAGAAAATTGCCCTTGATAAGGAATTAGTCACAACTATACTTAAAATATTGAAACAAGTAATTAGATACATGTCAAAAAGCTTAGACTAAAAAAGCTTTGAATAAAAAACAAGATCCAAATTTTATATACAAGCCATTTTACATTTTTACAGTACTGAAAATATTATGTGATTGATCTTGTTCATACCGGAGAGCAGGACTCCTTTTGGTTGTGGAGGAGTGAAGAATCGCGTTTGGCTGTTGAACGTTGCCCTGCCCCTGTTTCCTGTGAACAGTCCTCGGGTGGGGGGTTTGGGGGTGCTTTTTGGGGGTCTCTTTGGGGGTAGCAGCCCGACTGGAGCAATGTCTTTAAACTCTGCGGCCACAAAGTCATCCACATGCATACTGGGGGGGCGGGACGTGTTTTGTTTACGCTGTCGGAAAATGTCATGAGGACGAGAGAGATTCTGTCCGAATCCACCACGACCTCCACGACCCCGAGGTGCTGCCATGATGTGGGCTCTTTTAGCAGGCTCAGTGTAGTCCATTTTCCCACTGTTAAAACAAATAATATTGTAACATCTGTATTAGATAGAGGTTTTTGGACATGCAATGCAAATTGACGCCAAAAGTCTCACACGACCTTCACCGTATTCATTATTGGGGAAGGCGGGTAAAGTGTATTTCTCAAAGTCAAATCAAATCTGAAAATTAGATTTTGGCACAGTAGTTCTTAAAACAGCAGAAATTTTGATAAAATGTATTTTAAATTAAAACATTAAAACTGCAGAAGAAAACCTGTTTCACAGTTTGGGAACTGCTGCTCTATCATATCCGTGAGTTTTACAAAATTAGGTCCATTACCATAGCAGTAAAGAAAAGGAAATATCCTATCTTTTGAACGGTGAAAGTGCTCAAAATGTTGCTGACGACAGAAAGCTGAAGTTACTGAATATACAGTGGCAACAGTAACAAAAACTACACATATATAATATATAACTTTTGGAGAAGTTTCATACCTGGATGTGATGAAGGTCTCGTGCTTGTGCTTGCCTAATCTGAATCCTTTGGGAGGTTTGGTGTGTCCCGGAGATGACGGCTCAGACAAAAACGAGCGCTCCAGTTCAGCCTTAAGGTCGAGCTCGGGACAACACTCCTGAGCCAAGCCCATCAGGTCCACCTTCACCTGTCACATTCAGACAAGAAACATGAGAAGTAACATCCAGACTAGGGCTGCATCACACTGAAAAATATTGTGATATGCAATATACCTGTTATTGCTAATTGCTAATATTGATATTGCGTCAATATTTTTCAAAAGACATAGTGTGCTTTTGTCTGCTGTGATCTATGCAATATGAATATGTGATATGTATATGTGCCGCATGCTGTCTGTCTATAGGAGGGGCCTCATATAGACAGCCACACACCAAACCAGCGAGGAGAATATTATGTTTTAATTTGTGCCAAAATGGCTACACAAAGCTGCTCAATCCTACATGTATCACCAATACACACAAAAACAACTTTGGAGAATCGAGTTAGAATCAATGTAATAAACTTACCATATCGAGATCAGGCTCAATGTCCTCGTTTTGGAAAGGAGAAAACCAGAGAGCCTTCAGCTGTTCATCCAGAGCTTCAGACAGTATGTAAACAGTCCTAGAATAATAATAATAAATAGTAGTAATGTTTTTATAATTTATCAATTTAAAAAAGATTATCCAAATCAAATATACACACATGTATGGTTTAAATTTCAATACCTGTGGTTAAACTGGGTGGCTAGTGGTTCAGGCGGGGGCAGCGTGGGTTCTGACTCCACAACTGGAGCCGAGTCTGAGGCCGATTCAAGAGTCTGCCTCAGAACCATCACATTCTCCAACATTGTTTCCAGAGACTCGTCCTCTTTGCATAATTTCTGTTACAAATACAAATTAACATTAAAAAGATGACTGAAATACTGCAAAAATAAAAATTAATATCAGTACATTAGGATATAAAAGATACTATTGATCTTGCATATTTTATTTATACAGATCAGTTGTTGCAGTTTAAAAATATATATATTTCAGTGTATTTTATTCATTAAAATTTTTTCTTTCCAATTTGAAAAATGATTATCTGTCATTATCAGGGAGACCAGTGAGGAATATTTAAAAAAAGAATCTAGACCTACAAGATGAACCCAATCTAGTCAAAACTATTCCAAACATGACAGCTACCTGAATTCAAGTAATTTTAGCCAGTATAGATTTTATTTGTTTTTACAGTTTATACATGATAGTCTAGAGTGGATTCTTGTACCGTGATAGTTTTCTCTAAACTGGGCAGCGGGTGTGACTCCGAGTCATCCCACTGCAGAAGAGTTTTCATTTCGGACCCTGTCAGGAGCCGAGGGGGGACGAAACCTGGTTCCTCACTGCGGGACTGAGCCTCCTCAACACACTGAAAAACATCACACGGCATAAAGTAAAATGCAGATACAGTAAAATAACTTCAGCATATTGCAACAGCAGCTACTGCATAACATCTAATTGCACTGGTAGATACATTCAAGTCAAAGTTGCTTAAATCAAGATAATATGTATTTCTATTTCAACTAAATTTAACTAGTCAGTAGTTTTGATAAAGATAATTCAAATAAATTATTGTGACAGGAGGGGTCCAAAAAGGGGGTCATTATATTTTATGAACAGCGGGATTGGAAATTTGAGCAACTACTGATAATCGATGTAACCGTCTTCATAATTTTTTTCTCAAAGCTGACAATAATCCATAAATGATGGCGAATTTGCAATTAGCATAAGATTTAGATATATGTTTAATAGCAAAACTACTAATAATAATATAAATTAAACAAACTCATAGATTAAATACCATTGGTTCTGTGTTGAGGATCTGTCTGAGGAAGTCTAACAAAGTCGAGAGCAGATCTGCAGAGTCTTTGTTGAATGGAAAAGCCAGTCTCTTCAGCAGTGAGTACAAGCTTGAGCTGTGTTTCTTCAAAGAGCTGAAACAAAAAAATAAAACAAAAATAAGTTCCAAGAAAAAAATCACTTGTACAAGGGATGTGACCAGATAACAATAATCTTATTTTGTGATCATGTATTTGATTCACTATCAATATTGCAGACAGTTTATTCAATTTATTGGCAGGCATTTTCAATATATTTTTGCTCAATTTTGAAATGGTGTAAATGTAATGTCAATTTTGTAAGAT